TGCAATTCTTGCAACGACCAGTAAGACATCAACAGGTGAAAACCAACTTTTTACAGTTACTAGGGAATTTTCCTCATGGGCACACTTTCGGTGCCCAGCTGCCATGCCGTCCGGAGGAAACACAATGGCTAAACTACCACCAGGTTGCCCAAGCCTAGGCATGAGCAGTCGGGATGGTGGGACTGGACTTGAACTCCAAAACATTCGTTCAATTAACTCGCAATTAAACCAATGGGTTGTCACTTACTCATAGTTGTTCCTAAGAATGAATGCTGCTGTTGCATTATACACTGGGTAAACCTTCGAATTTCCGTAAGGATTTCCAGGTTTCCACAAGCAAGATGATCTTGGCAAGCAAATTGTTCTACTTGTTAAGGTTTAACTCCAACCTCGAAGTTAAAATCGTCGAGTAAATGGTATTAATTCACGGCTTGAAATTCTTCCCCCAAAACTTTGTCAGATGGATTCACATCGAGACCAAAACGCCCATCAGTTTATTGAAGGCTTTACATGCAAAAACCCGGGCTTCTATGACTACAGCAATTTATGAATAAGATTGTTCCCCGGGCATTTGAAATTTCGTTTTAAGAATGGGTTCAATGAAAAAACACGCTATTCGAAACTGAGTCACACAATTGCAATCAAAAACGTAAAACAAAGCAAGCAGAGGTTAGATAGTTTGGTGAACAAATTACATACAAGTGATTAGAATGGTTTTTTTCCTTACTGAGGGATTTGTGGTCAGTTCAATTTAATTTAAGTTCAATTGATATTGGCCGGTTTCACTGAAAGCACGAAGAAGCTTACTGATGTATCCAACGTGATGGACTTGTATAGCTCATTAAGCTATATCTGAATATTCGTTCTCAAAGCAGGCTGAACAAGGCTAAGCTTCGTATTGCATATGTTTTTTGTTTCTATTTTTTGTTACAATCTGGGTTTTGGTTCCAGTTAATTCAATAAAGTAGCCTAATGAGTACAAATAACTGCTAAAAGGCGTGATGGAATTTTTCTGCTTAGTTGCAGAAGAGCTTCAGAAAAAAGGTAAGTGAGACCTGGCGCCATGCGAACAACTTGATACTGTTGGTAAAATACTATTTTAAGTCTTAATTAGTATGTGACCAAAACCTTCCCGCATTGCAACCTTTCTATCTACCAAAGGCTTGTTTGATAGAACAACCCGTTAAGAAAGTGAGAGGTATAAACTTTGGTAAACTTTAATCATGGTTGAAACTAGCGCCTCATTAGATACATTATGATTGAATATGTAGTAAGTAGATGAGGCGCCACTAACTATCGTAACGCCAGTCACCATCAAACGAACGGATGTGGTGAAACGATATATCGTTTCTAATGAAGATGCGAAGGCGGATTATGTAGCTCTTGTAGTTCAAATAATGAAATGGCCCGAATTTTTTGCTGATGGCTTCTTGAGGACATCTTTGGCTGTGTTTTGTAATTAAACATTCAACGCAGCATATCTGTGCTACTTAAGTGTTTTGGGCATCTATTTCGGCCTAGTTGTACAGTCATATAAACGGCATAAAAGATACATAGTCATCTAGCAGTGGAGAAAAGCAAAATGGAGTCAAAAAACATCTACTATGCGAGGTACGGGTGAATCAGACTAGGTCGCTTAGCAGCTCATATTTGTTTGCTTGCGTTGTGTATTTGCGTTTCAAATCAACTTTATGAAAACAGTCGTTTACTTTAAGTCAAATGGTTTCACCCCCATGCTTATACACCTTGAATTTTCTAATTGAGTAACCTCTGGAAAATTTAAACAGAATCCTTGTAGAGGCAGCTAAAGTACACCAAGCTTCCCTGAAAATAGCCCCAGGTAAGGAAAGATAATTGCGAGTAGTTGACAAGTCCGAAGAACGTGGAGACGACATTACACAGATCACCGGTTTATTGAAAGTGGTTGCACAAAAGCAGCAGTACCTACAGCTGATAACAGTTTGTGTTGCACCATATTTGTACCGGAAGAAAAACTCACTATAATTTCACCGAAGGTTCTACTATATGCTTATATGCTTATATATATAATATAATAGTTGCTTAAAACTTTATTTTTACCTTTTACGTCTGATATATTTTCTGAAAGGAGAGGGATGGCTTAGTGCTTGGAGAGCGAATTTGCTGACCGGAATGTCCGTGGTCTGTACCCGACCCCTACTTCTACTTCCCCTGTCTAGACATGAGCAAACTGGCAGTATCCAAGCCCTCGTGATTCCTCCGGGTTGCATGACAGCTAGGCACCAAATAGATGTTACAGCCAAACTATTATTATTATTTATTATTGTTTTATTAATAATTTTATATTTTCTACATCGTTATGCTTAATATACTCACAAAGCACAGATGGGTCCATGCAAACCATTGGCAACAAACATTTTATTTCCGAAATATTCTTTCGTTTTTCCCGATGCGTCCATGAAATTTTAGGCGCTGTCTCCAAATAGTCTGCAAGAGTTCCAAGAAAAATCCGAATATACCCAACTAAATATACTGGCGGGAGGAACGAAATAAGTATCCAAAATTCACTCACTGTGTGGAAGCCTACCTCATTAGATGAACCACGAATGTAGAAGTTCCCTTTGTCTTGCTAACTAATTGTATCAAATAAGAATGAGGCTAAAGGTTCATGGGCTGATTTTACCAAATTTGGCGAAGTGTATAACGTGCTTGGTAGTGACGAATCTTGCCTATAGAACATTTTTTCCAACACGCATTACAACAGAACTAATTGTTGCCCAAGAACCTTATGCTATTTGACTCCTTAAACCGTAAGAGGTTTGAGAAACATATATTCTTTCTCGTGGCAATGTTCGTGCTTTTTTGACACTTGAAGTAGAATCTGGTCGCTGTACTGGAGCTGCTTTACCCCTTTGAAGTTATCTTGCGGATCACTGACGTAACATACTTCATTTTCTTAAGAGCTACAGCCAACTGTAACTCGCCACCCCAAGTTTCAACTTTCATCTAGTGTTATGCCACCTGTCCTGGCGAATTTCGGATGTGAACTAGACAATCTGTTAGTTATTTTACTTCAACGCCAACATTACTCTTGATCCTGCGGAAATAAAACCAAGCCTTTATATTTGTAGACGACTGTCACTTTGCGACCGAATGACCATTTGAAGACGCCATAATGATGACTCTGATTACAGTTTGAAGTACATATAAGATGTCACTCTGATTTGCATACTAGTCTGCTGCAGTCGAAATAGAACGGAAACTGTCTGACTCTGAGTTAACCCTCGTGGATTGTGAAGCAAAACGGAGAACATAGAAGACTGGTGCAAATCACACGGAACATTCATATCTTGATTTACGACTGAAATAGACTGTAGCTTTTTAATTTATGCAACATTGTACCGTTCTCCATATAACCTCCACTAAACCTGCGTAGCAGTAATTTGGGGCATGAGGACCTACGGGGTTACCTTGCTACTACACTCAACTGATAACTTGTTTAAGGCTTGTTCTACTGTCCACTGTTCCCTGTGGTTGTAGTACGTCCTCGTTTCAAGCACAACTTACTGAAAATTCAGGATCTTCCTGAACAGTGAAACATCAGTGTTGTTGCCTGTGTCTTTCCATGGGACAGGCATCTCTGCCACAGATTTTTTTACGTTGGAAGCATTTTGCATAATTCGAAAAAGTCTGAGCTCCGACCAAACAGACAATAGTACATTAGGTAGTGAAATATTGACGGAACTAATCTGTAGCGCAACAGCTTCTTACAGATATGTGCGAGGAGCCTCCGAAAATATAAAACAAAATGTGTTGTTGATTGGGTTTTATGCAGGCGGCACGCTGTTTCCTCCAAAATTGAGCACTAAATCGGGCTTTTATTCTGTGGATTTTTCAATTATCGATAGACTTCTTTAGTAATAACTTCTCTCGAAGAATCATCACTCACAATTTTTTGAACTGCAGTTCCTGGGAGCGTGGGCAATTTAACCGGGTACTCAAATCTTAGCTCGTATTGCGCATTAATTCCGAACCTTCTATGCAGTAAAACCACATCGTACGAATAGAAGAATGCGCCATTTATCTAAAGCGCAGGATATAATCATTTAGACTGTACACTTGTTGAGTATTTGTTATCCGTGGTTTCAGTGGTTGATTGTTATTTTCTGCAAAACACCAATCTGCAGTGATAAGGGTGGGTCCAACTCAGTAGATTACTAAGCTTGCGGCGTCCAGCATTAGTGTTTTGCTGCAATGAGTACAAGCTCATGGAGATAGCTCACCGAATACTGTATTTAGTGGGCATCAATGGTACGGAGGACTTTGGAATTTCAAATAAACTTTTCTTCCTGAAAATGAAGTCACTCTATGTCAAAAAGTGGAGGGGATTGCATGGATGTTCTGTCTTTGTTGTGAATGGTCAGCAGTGTGTAGCTCACTAGCTTTAGGAAGCCACTCAGTACGTGACTACTTGATATGAGTTCCGTAAATAAAGGATATGGTGATGCATCCTGTCGAAGCGCAAGTCAGTTACACTGCTGGTTAACCGCTCTTGGACGAACAACCTTTCATACGAAAGTGCTTAACGTAAAACAGCTTCTGTTTTGATCGATGCGCTAGGCTCCACTCACCATTGGACAAATGTGGAGAATTGGCTGCACGCGCTCCTCCTGTGAAATTGCTCTATTTTAGATATACTAAATTTGGTTGCTGTTATGAGTACTGTAATTCGATCTGGAAGTGTACGTGTCACATCTTTCCAATTTATTGCTTCTTCTTCTTTTCCAAAGAAGTACTTGCATATTGGCAATTATTAAACCTGTTGTAATCCCTGGAAGGTTGCTATCAGCCTCGTACAAAATCCCAAGCGCTATTAATTTTTTTCAGAGAGCACCTTCCCTGGTATGTGACTGATTGACCTCGGTAAATTTAACCATTTAAAAATTCATTACATAAACCCAATATGATGCCTTATCATTATCACCCTGATTTTTTTCGTATCGTGGTTGACTTTATTCCAGGGTTCCAGCCAAGAAAATTTGCGCGCCAAATCAAAGATCTCTTCGAGCGAAGCTTCGTTTCCAATGACTGGGCACTCCGGTAGCTCCCACTTACATCCACCACCACCACCACGGGAGCAATTTAGTTCTTCCGTAACTGACTTGCGCCATTCCGACGGGTCTAGCATCCACAAACAGCGGCTCCATTCTGAGGCTGATAGCAAGTCAACTTTAAGCTTGGCCAGTCGCGTAAGTTTATCTATCGCACGAAATGATTTTATAACAACCACAAGTTGCCTGACTGTTCCTAAACAATGTAAATTACTCACACCAGTAAACCTTCGCTATGCATTTTTTTCTTAATGTGTATATTATCAATGAACAAAAAATTAGATTCAATAATAAAAGTTAACATCTTTGGGGTTTCAATACGAATAAATTTTGGACATATTACTAACAGCTCAATCTATCGAAGCCTGCCTTCAGAAACCACCTTTCCAAGATTCGACATATATTAACAAGTTTCAGTTTACTGTACCTCATGAAAACCGTAAATCCACAATCAGGAGAGCGGATAATTACAAGAAGAGAGCATTTCTCATCTGTCATGATGATTTTAACAAAGGACTCCACTCCACACGCCGGTACCCACTTCTACGAACCTATCAAATCCCGCCAAACTAAAGGGAGTGCAATTTATAATAAGAGGTAAACAACATTCAAACCGTTGTTAAAAAGAGCATACAGATTGTCATACGGATTTGTTTCCAACCTCAAGTTCATGAAGAGGAAATGAGTATGCTCATGGTTCGACATTTTCCTGCAACTACTCATACCACTTTTATTATACTTAGTACCTCTGTTACCTTATGCTATGAATAAAACCCGCTTCCCTTCCACCCCTAAGCATTCGTCACCTTTGTTTTTTAAACGTTTCAACGGGTTTTCAGTTCCCAAAAATGTTACACCATGATCAAAACTTATGAGGAGGAAATACTTGAAAACTTTGTGGTGCAGGGCTGCTGCTTGAGAATGGCAATAAGAACATGTCTCATTCTTAGTCTCGAATAACCATTGCTGTAACACCAACCTGCCGCATTGATATCTGTGTTGATTGGGTCAAAAACACTCATTCGTACGATAAACCTAAGATAGGAACAGTTTCCCTCCTGACGATTTTTATGATCACTGACGGTTTGTTCAGTAGTGTTGAACGATGATGCCAAGCCTGACATAGATTGGAAACTCGTTTACGCCACAGAAGAATCAAGTCCTGCGGGGTGATCTTTGTTTTTCAATGCCTTAACTAGCTAGTTATCTCACTACTCTATAAGTTTTGCCATTGAAAACCCCAAATCATATCATTAAAAAGTAAAATCCACTGTAAATTTGAAGGAACAATCACGGTTCTGCATTGGTTGTCTTAAATTTGACTTCCATCTAACTTCATACACTAAAAGAGCTTCACTATCTCTGTGAAACTTGTAGCGACCAAAAAATGTCCACGTCTCTATTACACGATTAATGACATAAAGTCGGAGAGGGTTTCATCTTGTTTATTCATCTCTGTCTATCAGGGTGAGCTACCAGTGTCAGACAAATTCGGTATTTGATCTAGTGACAATAAACGTGTAGCGCTGCCTACCTGTCTGTTCTCGATCACCTTGGTTCGGGTGACTGAATTAGGTGCTCTATCTACTTTCGTGGCACTTTGAATTTGGAGAGCCAAACTTCCGAACTTCTAGGTTTTGCGAATTTCGGTACGACTGACTGAAGCGGCATCTCTACAGATCAAGTGAATGATATACCATTTGAATCAAAAACATTCTCCCATACAAAATGCTGACAGGTCGTGGAGGTAGTGAAACCTGACACATAGTTACAGCTCTCAGTCCATCTTGTAACCTATCCAAGTACGTGGATACACAACCTAACTCATAAGTTTGTTCTGTGGTGGTTGGTGTGTGTACCCGACATGAATGGGTGGGTTTTGAAGCTTAGTACGAATTCAATATACGAAACAACATGCTATGGTGCGCCCACCTGGGAAATAAACAGCTCATCTAAACTGATCTCAAAGATGGATCGGCGTAGAATTATTTCACATGAATTCCAACTTAAACTGAAAGTAGTGACAAAATGCTGGGTATCCTCCTTATAAGTACCGTCTTACTGAGGTTAATTCAGGCGATTTCGTGAATTTTTCAAACAAAGTGATGAATCATAGCAGGCTTGTACACCTAATAAGGATGATCCAAGTGGATGGTGGAGGAGTTAAAAAGAAAGCAGTATCATTATTATTAACTGAACACTGACAAAAAATCGAGGGTAATAGTTGCGACTAGAACTGCGAGTAATCTAAGCCAAGCGGAAGAACTTCCAAGTATTGAAATCTGACTATCATATAGTTTTTCCGAGCTTCTACAATAAAAGAAACATTTTATAAGATCGCATACGGTAGACGATCAAAAGTTATGAACTGAGAACACGTGTAAGACAATTCACATTTTTCTGTGTTTCAGCAAATAACGTCCAAGGTAAGGGATGGTCGCCTTGTACTGCCATATAGCCTTGTCTCAAAGTCAACATACCTATGCAGTTTTTTAATGAGTTACGCAGGAGAATCAACCGACATAATATGTCCAGTTTGACGGTCATTCGAAAATGTGAGGTAGTCCCCCTTATTTTGGAGGCTTTATATGCGATTCTACGGAGAATCTGCCAGCTTCAACCGTAGAACGTTTATGCTGAACGAACAAAAAACTTCAGTAAGGTAACCTATGTCACAATTTCAAGTGGCAAACATGCGTATGCGTAAGCTGTATTTACTCAAAATGACTAGTATATAGTTTCCAACTCCGACACTGCGACGAAGAAGGTTGCAGGAGGGTGACTATATAACCCGCACAGTTTACCACTCTAGGTTAGCAATGGACGAATTCGAACATATTGTATCTTTGACCTATTGTATAGAAACATCCAAAGCTTTCTGAAGCAAACGGGAACGAAGTAGCTATCAACAGTTTGAGATAGTGTCCTATATAGATATCGCTCACAAGCAAAACAAATATACCAGCAGTTTCTGGCGCGAAATAGTTGGAAGAGAATGCTACCTGTTGGTCCAGCCATCCAGCTTAGGAAAGGCCCGTTGATTGCAAATGTCATATCTTCCAGAGGGCTTTGAACAAGGGGGTTTAAGTTTAGGTTTTTGAATTATTGTCGCTTCGTTGAACGAGTCGCCCTTAGAGTTTTGTCGACAGGTTTCTGCACTGCTAAAAAGAGGTGAAACTTAGGACATAGTTCCAACTTTAGTACGAGCAGTTATAACAGGGGTAGTTTTTTCTTCCTATTACAACTTGTTAGAACGCACTGCTTTGACGTCTGTGGGCCGGTATGCTATCAATGCAACAACCACCGACCTGATGTACTACTCTTCTCTGCCAAACTATCATTTACCTAGGCTTAGCGAAGATGTTGGTCACTGGCTATGTTGCTGTTTGCAGCTGTGGGCAGAAAAACAGGTAATACGTATTCATGTTTTCGGACCATCTTTGGCAACCACTAATGGGACTCTGTATAATTTTACTGCTAAATATTCAAAGTTTTACTGGCTACGTTCCTCTTTGGGTTTGGAGTTTGAAGGAATTGAACGAACGAACGGAGAAGCGCTGTTGCTTGCACCGTCGGAAATTTTGCTTTCTGAAAGAGGACTAAGGCGTAGAAGTCGAACCCTCGATGAATGGGAATTTAAGAACAATATCCGCCGACTACAGTCTACCGTGTTTGGTGGGAGTCTGCGAACAGTGGGCCGTTATGAGAATGTAACCCAAACTCCATTTTCAAGCGTAATTACCTGTTTTATCCCTCGTTTATTCGTTATCAACCTTTGTTTCTAGTTTGTTTTGCGCCTTTTATTATTTGGTTCTGTTTCTGGTGTATATTATCAGAAATATCCCAAATGTGTCTTATTCCGATGAAAGTTTGATCTATGGTTTTCGTAGGGATCTTCAAAGCTTGCAATTCCTGGGACCAGCAAAAGTAGTTTACGTTTTTTCATTTATAGTGCAAAACATATAACAATTTTCTACGTATCGCAAATATACTCCAATTTTAATTTGTGGGAAGCAGTCTCTTCACACGAGGCTTCGTATGGCTACTTAGAAACCCACTGGTTTCCTGATTTTTTACATCCAAACGCCAGACTAAAAATACAATGTTTTTGTTTTCAATCGTTTCACTGGGAATAAAGGTGGCTATTTGGGTAGCTATTCTTCCATGCGCATCCCGAATTCCATAAACAATTCAATGATGACTAAAAGATTGTATATGTGAAGTACGCACATGATTTGGAACTTCGTATTCAGTTCCTTTATTTACTTCAAACTAAAGAAGTTTTTCACTCTTCCCCATCAGTGAGGCCCATGACACAAGAATGAATGTATACGCACTCGTAATCCGTGCATGATGAATCTGAATATACCCCCTGACTACCAGCAAAGTTAGTGACCTCTAGTAAACTGCAAGCTGTGCAGACGTAAATGTCTTAACTGACCGCGACAACGTTTTTTATGGGACGCGTAATGTGCGGGCGGTCAATGATAAAGCAGAATGAAGTGGGATGAACCTGAATCATTTTCGGAAGAAAACGACCAGTACTACTGACGGTTCAACTACATAGTTTAATTGGTCAAGCGAGTGACGAAAGCACTTAAAGAATTGAGACGGTCGATGTTTACTCTCTACATGCCCCAAATTTGCCTGTGCAAATGATGCATGTGGTCAGGTTCTGACTCAGTGACAAAGCATGCTTTCTCACTTGACATTCTCAGTCGTGTTCAAAAGTGCTATCATCCTGTAACCCAAGAAGAGCGATGAGTACTAGAGGATGGTGTTTTTGATAACATTTTGCAGTAAAGCTATCCACTACCATGAGTAGCCAACCTAGAATCTTCACACGGATGAAGGATTTAAGGTTCCCTGTCTCAAAAGTTTTAGAAGTATACTGACGCACACCAATCCCCAGTATCTGGCTGATTTCATTCAGATCTTTCTGTTTCTTGCGTAAAAAACAGTGTCAGTTAAAATCTTTTGACTTTGTAGATATTTCCTAACTAATTAGTTATACAAAACAGTACTGTATAGTTCGTCTATTACTTGCATCCTGTTAATCCAAATGTAATTTTGTGGCTTTTTCCCCGTTCCAAGGATGCACCAACAATACAATCAGCTGCCTTAATTTAAACTCTGACAATCAGAAACAGCGCAGTTCATTTTACGGCCATCCGCGAAACAGTCAACCTCATGAAAAATAACATGCAAGGGAAATAAGCTACCCTTTTGTTTTCTCCATCACCCACCTAATTCCCTGGAACTCGCCCTTTTGGTTTCATCAAAGATAGGATTAATGTGAAACTGACCGCCAAGCTTTATTGACTGTTCTATGCAGATAGCAATGAAGTGGGCACATGGGCTTTCTAGCGGTTTTTCCGTCTTTTCTATCCTGACGGAAGAAAGCGGTTGATTTTAATCCCGTTATCTCTTTTTACATAATCGTCTTTTTTGCTCAGGTTGTTTTTCGAGCCAATTATGTTGTTGGCCCGGCTGTGACAATCAGGTCTGTCACAGAATGGTGATTACCATTTATAGCCATTTAATTAATTTTGCGTGCTTTTAAAAACTGTTTTAAAACGGCCTTAATTGTCTTAACATTTTTGTGAGCACAATTTATCAACCCGTTTTACCACTTAGTTTCTTTATTTCATTAAACAGACTTACGGGTCAACTCTGAGTATCTACAGCGAACGCGAATCGAGTTATACACATGGTATAGCTGTCACGGGTGACTTGAGATTGGACATTCAGTATGATCATCAAAGTTCAACGCTTCGTATCGCTGTCAAGCAAGCGCGGGATCTTGCCGTTGCTGACAGAAAGCACATGAGCTGCAATCCGTGAGTAAATCGCACTCTATGGAAGTAAATCTTTTTGCCGAATTAAGGCGCTACTTGAGGACCACCAATTCATTATTTCGCTTGACATCATCCCTGGGGGTGCAGCGGCTGTGATAAGACTTGGGATATCTTACTTGGTTGATTAACCACTTTACGGCAAGTCCTAAGTTTTGCCTGATGTGTGTGTACCTAAACAATAAAGATGTAAAACCTTTTGACAAGATAAACAGCAAAAGGATGAGCAAAATAGAGAAGGCGAGGATGACCGTGTGGTCAGCTCGCTTGTGGTTCCAAAGGAAATATTGTGCTACAGTGACTGTAATAAAAACAAAAAAAGCATTTGATTGGTATATGTTGGATAGCAACATGCTATGGAACACCTACCCAAAGTGCGTTACCACAAGCAAAAGAGTAAGAGAGCAAGAAAAATTTACGTTTTTTCACAGACGTCTAGCAAGTTTAAACCTGCCGGAAAGTTGATTAAAATAAGGTATTTACTCTGGATAATTTCAGTGACCTCCTGTCAATTCCTCGAATTTCTGAATTGTCTAGCAGAAGCGCCACTTTCAGACACGAAATCGTTATTGACAGCATGACATCAATATACAACACTGGTACTTCGCTACCGTATAGACATGATTTATGTAAAGTAAAAAAGTGGGGAAAGCAAGAGCACCATTAGCCCTCAGACTTTTCGTAATTCTTCTCATACCAGGTTGGTAGGTTAAGGGGTTAAGGGTTGGCCAACTTTTTGCTTCGGCTAACCTAATTCTGGCACGGAAAACATCTTCCTGTTCAGCAAAAGATGGTTTAGCATACACAACTCAGCTTTTGGTGCTAAACACACTCCTCAATAGTAGTCCCATCGCGTAATCGAAAACTTGCTTTTTATTTGCCTCGTTAAGGATTCGCCAACATCAAATCACATAGGCTATGTTTCTAAGACATTGTTTGTTGGTCGCTTGAAGACATTTCCGTTTTGCTGCTCGAACAAACCAAGTCTCGTAGCATACGACAAAACGGTCCTTAAAGTAACCCAATTCACACATCCCTCGAGATTCAGGGATATACCCAGTTGACGCCATAGGTGTCTCAAATTAGCAAACGCGAGCCGAGCCTTGCAGATTCGTGCATTGACCTCATCTGTCACACCTCAATCGCAACTAATACGGCTTCCAAGATACGTAAAACGCTGCACAAATTTGGGTACCTCTCCCCGGATTGTGAGTGCTGTACTCATGTCCAGCACCCACTTTGTGGGTGCAAAGTGCATGCTAAATGACGGGATGACTTTGGTCAGTTCAGCCTAAAATACCTATGTATTCTCCTACTCTTAGAAGACGAGAAGGATATCTTCTGCATATTTCATGTCGACAAGGTTTTCGCCATTGGTTATCCAAACACCAGACTTTTTTAAGACTTCCCAGAGTTCGCATCATTATCTTATTGATCACGAAAGTGAATAGAAATGATGGACACCGCTTAGTGTGCGGAAGCTTTTGGAGAGCTCTCGGTATACACACACGTCTGAAAGTCTGAGAATACAAAGAATTATTCATGTTCACAAACTTTCGAGACATTCTTCGATGGGCAAGTGTGTTAGGAAAACAAAATGAGTCAAACGCGCCTTGAAAATTCAGGAATACTGAGGTTGTGGGTCATGCGACATTGTTCGAGTGTAGAGATTTGGTCGACGTAAATCCCATCAGGCCGGGATCCAGCTTGCTGCTCATAAGTCAGTGCTTCACTAGTCACCATAAGACGACGAAGCACAAGTGACGCCAGCAGTCTCCTTATGACCTGGGTCAACCTGATCCCTCCGGCACATGACTGCATATCTAGTTGAGACTATTTGTACTGTAGTCGTCATGGCGGCAGAAAGAAATGGAATTTGGAGGCCAAGCGACTAGGTCAGCTGTGGTTGCTATCTCTGTTAATCACACTACAGTTCACGCAGAAGTGAAAACCGGAAGACCTATCAGTGCTTCATCACCATAAGACGACGAAGCACAAGTGACGCCAGCAGTCTCCTTATGACCTGGGTCAACCTGATCCCTCCGGCACATGACTGCATATCTAGTTGAGACTATTTGTACTGTAGTCGTCATGGCGGCAGAAAGAAATGGAATTTGGAGGCCAAGCGACTAGGTCAGCTGTGGTTGCTATCTCTGTTAATCACACTACAGTTCACGCAGAAGTGAAAACCGGAAGACCTATTCAGGTGATGCAATTACTACGGCACTGTGAATAACCATTTACGTAGTACACCCATTCAGGTAGGCGCAATTCTTATATTATAGGCTTCTAACTGCATTTTTAAACTAGTTTCATAGATTTGGTGAAACATGTTCGGATCAAAGAAACCAAAAATCGGTGATATCTCAAACTTCAAATATCGATGGCAACGAAAGGTTCGTTTTCACGGTTTTTCACGCAGTTTTGAGGCAGTATTTGCTCCATCGTGGCAAACTACTGCAATGGCAATTAACTTTGCGCAAGGGAGCAGCCAAGCAAGTTGGAACCGGAACAAATAGACCTGAAAGATGTATAGTGAGGATATGCCGCACGAAAACAAAATGTTTGGATCATAAATCTGATGTAGTGTGAAAATGACTGAAATGTAAGATCCTATAGAAACAGAACGACAGGAGCGCGTGAAATGATTTGAGGGGTGTTTTTACCAAGCCTTCTACACTTGTGCACAAGTATATATAGACAACGCAAAAACATGCTTCCCGAAAAAGACTCACGTTATTTTATCGGTTAGTTTGAATAACACTTTAACACGTGTTTTGAGATCCGAACTGATGTACTACCTTCTATTCCGACTGAATTTCTGGCGCTGAAACTGTTTTGACATTATGAAAAACAGGATAAAGAAATGCCAAAACACCAGCCAGTCTGTACTCAAATCGCATTATAAAATTCAACCCTTTAAAATGACGATTATGAAAAAATACCCGTTTCGTATGGTCTTGTTATGACTGTAACTTGAATTAGATAAAACTTTATGGACGAGGGTGATCGCTATCCACATATGTCTGCAAAGACGTATGTGCTTCGCTGTTTTTCTTCAAGCACTTGCGACTTTCTAATACAGACGTCCAGGTTGTCACCCTTCTGGGTGTGATCGTTCCAAGCAATCGCAATATTGGCTCACCCTAGATTCCATCAAGCTATCACGCTGGTTTCTACATTTGAGTGAAAGTGGGAAGCGAAGGTGCATGATGTACATGACAGAAAAACAAAAATAAAAAAGCCTTCTGGCTAAATACCCGCAACTGTAAACTAAGTCAGTGTTAACGAGCAAATCAACTAAACTCTAGCTGGATCTCTCTATTGTTGTCACTCAGATTAATTCTCTGCACAATACTGCCTTATATTTCGTTTCACACTATGTTCGATATATCGAAGTCTACTTTTCATCAGCCTCACAAGCAGTCTGTTTTGTCAGGAAGGTATTTTTGTACAACCAGTTGTGGAGGGTTATATTCTCTGTCTTTTTTTCCAAGCAAATTCATCCCTTACACAATACGCACAGAATAATCGCGGTTGAACTTTGTGCAGACAGTCGATAGTCAACGTAAAAAGTAAACACTTGGCTGCAGAAGTATCTCATCTCCAATTCATGTTTAGAAGTCATAAGATATACTTAAGGTTACTTTTGAGGTACTCCACAGTTGACTTCTGTTCACCTTGGTTTTCTATGGGCAGCGTGAAGCGGCATAAGATACGTCACAGCTACTTCAGGATTTCCACCTATATGTCCTTTTAAAATTGAAATCGCTTTTTAAAGTGACATCCAGGGGCACCTTGTAAATTGACCTCAGGCCACTGAAAGAAACCTACTTGGCAACCTGGTTCAATGCCATTGCTGGTGACGGCACAGTGATTGTGGTCCTGTGTTCTGTTCGTTACTAAAGCTGTCTGCTTATTTAACATTCTTCAACTTTATAGTTTATTGGTGTAGGTGGCACAGCGATCATCTTCTGTTTCACAAACTTGAAATTAGAACACCGAGCAAATGGTTTATCATCGACATCCTAGTAAAAATCATTGTTGCTCTTTGAGAAATGAGATTTTAGTTGGCAATTCATCCAGTAAGTTTTTATCACACATTTAAAGTTATTTTATAGATTTTTGTGTTAGTTATAATTACTTCTATATCATCACTTCTTTTTACTGGCAGTTATGTGAAATCTTACTTGTTACCGGATAAAACCAAGGGAAGCAAGCGTAAGACGTCCCACAAGAAAAAGAACCGCAACCCAGTCTTTGAGGAAGTCTTCAAGTATTCCATTCCTTATAGTGAACTGCTCGCTCGTACTCTCCAGATCGCTGTCTGGCACAAAACATCGTCTGGCACCAATCTTTTCTTGGGTGAAGTTATCATTCCTTTCTCGGATTTTCAATTTGAAGCTGGCCCTCAATGGTATCCGCTCAGTGAACGGGTAAGCCGAAGAAAGTGAAAAACATGCAAGTGATTTTTCCAAAATTCAGACCCCGGACAGATTCTAATCTAAACGATAATCAATTCTGGGAGTTCCAGGCCGAAACCAGCTCGAAGAGTATTAAAAATGATGCAGTGCTATGTCGCGTATAATATGGAGTTTTTTAATTGTAAAGTCAAAACACAGCGTAGTGGAATAGGTTGTTGTAATCCGAAGTTTCGGTTGCCGTGGGCGGCCTTTCTCAAGGATTTCTACAATCAACTGAATACGAGTCAAATGCAGCGACATTTGGGTCCTTGTCCTATGCTTGGTGCATCCTTGTGATCAACTGACAGTCAGATTGGGTCAGCGTACGTGGGTGTGCACCCTGATTAGGATGTACTTCCGTTTGTTGTTGTGCAGGTTGTGATGCGTCATTTTTGAGACCCTTGCTTGACATCTGGTTACTATGCTTGCTAAGGTGTGCAGTGAATCCAATCCAAATAGACGGGATGCTGGCGCCATCACTCTGGCTGATGCAGTTCGGCAATGTGTTGATAGTTAGGGCCTCATAGAAGGTTCAAAATAGCAGTGAAAGTTTGGTTTTAGGATACCATATAACTATTGCGGGGTAGACAAATGTGCCCGTATTTCTGGGCCTAGCATCCAGGAACGTTTACTTGTCAACAAATGTCGGGAAACTTCAAGGGATGGAGTGCGCGTTTTGCAATACTTGGAATCCAGACTCTCTACAAACTTCAGAGGCAAATTGCTTCTGTTGCGGAAAGGCATTTCTGAAGAACATGTGAACTTTAAAACCGTCGCAATACGATTGATTTGATTTTTGCCTCAAGATGAACCTACCAGAAGTTTCGTGAACAGAATCCACGGCGTTACTTATTTTTTGGAAATTACACCAAATTTTTCGATATGATTGCCCGTTTGCAGACCTACACAATCACTGCAGCCGAATTCAAAATAGACACGGGTCCTATTTCTAAGCAGGATTTAGGCGGCAGAATACAGACTTTTGTTCAATGCCTTCGTCAAGCTGCTGTACGATTTCAGAATACAAATTCACCCTAATGATGGGTAAGCTAGTGTGCTGCAGTACTCTGTGCTACCAGAGCAGAAAAGTGTTGGTAGGTAAGGCATCTGATTGTTTGTTTTCGCATGAAACCAAATGTTAGCAGTGCATTTGGTCTCTTTGAAAAACGCCGCTGTAATGAATGTAGGGCGTTTATGAAAACATGAAATAATGGTCGCCTTCAAGCCTGTAGTCATTTTAGGAGAACCCTCGCAAATCCAAATAAATCTGGATGAAGTGAATAAAACGAATGTAATCTATTAACAATAGTTAAATAATTGCGGGGCTCGGGGCAACACAGGAAACCGGACATCCAATGACCAAACTTGTCAAACAAGGAAATAAGGGGTCATCCAACTAACCAAGCAAGTAGATTGAAACCAGGCCGCAAGGCAAGAAGGAAACGGCCCAGTGGCAACGAATGAAGAATGAATGAAGGCAACAACAAACCAGCCAAGTACATAAAGTTGAGAATTCAACGCAGCATTGATTCGATATTGGTCGGAGAGATTATGCAAAAGCCACCAACCTAGCAGTCTATGGCTATTAGATATTATTTAGAAAACATGCAGGTACAGGCAGAAGCGAAATAATCTACCCACACAACCCGTACTGGCGATGTCATTTTGACTAATATTAAAAGGTTTGCAGTCCAGCTAGCAAGATTTGCAGGCAGACCAACGTCCTGAAAGAGATGTTGTGTGACGCCAAAATGTAAGCAAATTGACAGATGATGCCGTTGTCAGTCGCAAACAAGTATAAGGTGCCGGGTCTTTCTACCATGCTACCCGGACTTTTTAGATGCTAAACTCGAGTACAAATGTCTCTTTTTACGGTACTCACTTGAAAGAGCTGACCAAACCTAAAATTCACTTTCATGTTTGTTTAGCATTGAACTACGCCTCATGGTACTGGATTATTGAGACTTGTTTCTTCACACATGGGTCTCTTCGGAAGTGATTACTCGTGAGTTAAAGTTAGAAATATGTTGCGGACGGTCATATTATTAGGTTGTTGGTCTGTTCGCCGAGCTTGGCAGTTGGATTGCAAACGTTTCATCACCAATCGAGGTGACATCGTCAGTGCAGGGTTGAGTGGGTGGTTATACTATTATTCTGCAAAATGGGCCATTTAAGTTTTTTATTCCAAGGATAGATTCTTGGAAGCAACCACTTGTACGGTTTCTCCGGGTGCTCTCACAATAATAGCCAATGTGATTTGCCTTATCTTTTGGGGCGAATTCAAAAAAGTGATGCTTTAGGAAGTGAAGACTTCATTTGTTAATTGATGTTCCTGTAAATACGTGTGACTTCAGATTTGTGCGAAAGTTGACGTAAGTACCCACATTATGAGTAAATCCATTGTAACACCTTTTAATGGCAATGAAATAATAACTTAGACACATGCTTCAACAATGCTCTCCGGCAACAAAATTCGATGTATTCATTTTTCTGGTGAGCGTCCAAGAATTCCTAACAGTCTGACATGCAGCTCTTTGGTTATAACGTTGTCTTCTATTTTCATCAGCCATGAGTTTTGCATCAGATTAGGCCTTTCGTCGCTCAAAAGGACTCAATACAGGGCCGGTAGCATACACCGCAATCAACAAGACCACCCTGTGGTCACAAACTATTGCTTTTCTGTCCAGCGACTAACTGAATGACTAGGGCCATGACATTATTGCCACAAAAAAAAACGGAAAACGACTAGGCGTTCTATAGACGTAATACAGTACTCGCAAGGTTGCTGAAAATTCTTCGGCAGCCCACGACTGATCTCACCCTTCTTGGGGCTCATCAGGTGGACAGAGTCCCCGAGTTTCCACCAACCTTATATTCTACTTGGACCCAGGTTGCACGAAAGTAGCAAATTACACTCAACTGCATACCATTTTGGTTTTGACGGGAGACTCACCGGCGACCCAGCTGAATCTCTCGTTCATGAGGTTTTAAGCAACTGAATGTGCTGCACCAGGTCTCCCCAGCGACGATTTCGCATTCGGACATTTCACTCGGGAAGATGCGCATTGCTGATGCTTCTCAATAAGGGTGAAACACTGTGCGGTGTTTTTCGGCTTCCCAGAATATGCTGGCTCCATTTGGAAGACAAAATTTAAATTGAAAATTACTAGGACTCGTTAGGCGGATACGAATGAATATTTAACGTGAATTCACTCTACCAGTATGGCATCAGGATCAAATACATATGCAGCTATAATTCTGACTGTGGTCAGTTGTAAGTACTTGACCAGCAATATCGTCATTTAGAAACCCAAGCTACCCCTTTCAATCGGAGGGTCGTTTCAGTCGTTCTATAGACGTAATACAGTACTCGCAAGGTTGCTGAAAATTCTTCGGCAGCCCACGACTGATCTCACCCTTCTTGGGGCTCATCAGGTGGACAGAGTCCCCGAGTTTCCACCAACCTTATATTCTACTTGGACCCAGGTTGCACGAAAGTAGCAAATTACACTCAACTGCATACCATTTTGGTTTTGACGGGAGACTCACCGGCGACCCAGCTGAATCTCTCGTTCATGAGGTTTTAAGCAACTGAATGTGCTGCACCAACCATCCCCAGCGACGATTTCGCATTCGGACATTTCACTCGGGAAGATGCGCATTGCTGATGCTTCTCAATAAGGGTGAAACACTGTGCGGTGTTTTTCGGCTTCCCAGAATATGCTGGCTCCATTTGGAAGACAAAATTTAAATTGAAAATTACTAGGACTCGTTAGGCGGATACGATCCCCAGCGACGATTTCGCATTCGGACATTTCACTCGGGAAGATGCGCATTGCTGATGCTTCTCAATAAGGGTGAAACACTGTGCGGTGTTTTTCGGCTTCCCAGAATATGCTGGCTCCATTTGGAAGACAAAATTTAAATTGAAAATTACTAGGACTCGTTAGGCGGATACGAATGAATATTTAACGTGAATTCACTCTACCAGTATGGCATCAGGATCAAATACATATGCAGCTATAATTCTGACTGTGGTCAGTTGTAAGTACTTGACCAGCAATATCGTCATTTAGAAACCCAAGCTACCCCTTTCAATCGGAGGGTCGTTTCAGTCGTTCCCTCAAATATACTGAATAATATCGAAACGAGCTATAACGTATCAAATACCTTGCACCAGTCTCCGATTTATAAATTGTATCTGAACCCTAAGCAGGAATCACCTACCACTGATGAAGTGGTCATTTGTTAAATTTGACAAGACTATATTGAGTAAATTGATGGGTCCATAAAAATTCTTTTGTGACACTCGTCCATTCACATTATCTATGACAGCGAACCGTTAATCTGCCAGTTACCATGCAAATTGACCATGGGTCGCTGCTCCTTGCTTTGAAACTTATTCCTGGTGCTACATCTGGCAACCCCTGCGAAATTCACGTTTGGATTAAATCGGCCACTGGGCTGACAACATCCATCAGCAGTTCCAAGAGCACAACAGTGAATCCATACGTTAAAATGTGAGTTCACTAGGCTGATTATGTATTATTTTGCAAGTAACTAAGTTGCCGTAAGTAAAGGAAATTCTTACGCCTATTGTGAGCACAGCTTTTGTTCAGCCACATTAGCCTTCACCATCTGTGCAATAATTATCATCGTGGCCATCGTCAGTAACTCTATCAGTTATACCATCTCTCAAAATATCAACCATATTCTCCTCCTCATCGTTATTTTCATTGTTATACGCGAGATCAATGCTTGTTTTACATCAGTCACGTTACATTTAGGATTTTATGCTACAAGCTTGGTTTCTCGAAGCAAGTCATCAATAAGTATTTTATCTTTGCAGTGATGAAATTACATCCTTGCATACTGTTAAAGACGGGGGGAAGGTAGTCAATTTAAAGACACTTAAGAAGCGAACCAAGATCCGCTCGTCGAAACGGAAGTCCACAAGGTCAACCACTCAGCTACCTGGGTCCAGAAACCAGTTAGTTATCGAAATTAGTGGATAACATGACATACATCCCGTTGCCGCCCATATTTTTCGTCGACTCCCCATTTTCAATCGTTTATTAAAATCACGTGATTTTGGCTGTCCTCACAGAACACCGAGTGTGAAACAGGACAAAATTTTTAGCAGGCTTGTTGGGTACGGTTCGCGTTCCAGTTGGTGAAAGACCAGTCCTTGAAGCAGGTGCATGAAATTTGAGACTTGAACATATTCTAAAGTGGCCACTTCCTGAGTGGCATTTTCTACAAACCAGCTTTCTATACAGGTCATCCAGTACAGGTTTACCCAAATACGTTTTCATAAAAAGTACTGAATATCTCAAATTCACCCTACACGCAAGACATCCGGCCATATTAAGCTTGGCTAATATTTTCCAGGATCGAATGTGACAAGTCTAATCAACTAATCAACTGTTTAAAAAATATCCAAAGGCATTATCACACTCATATGTTCAGATGCCGGGAAGTAAAGTTCGCAGTTTCTGTCATGTGAAAGTTGAGCACCTGCAGTGGGTTGTACGTTTGAATGATGTATAAACAAAGCTTTTCACGTGAAACCTTCCAAATTAAGAAGAATATTCAGAAGAAAAATGTCTTTAGATAGATATCTCCAGTTAAACTTAGTGGATATGATATAGAATGTAATTTTGGTAGTCGAGGATGCATGGTTGATGGCAAAACAGCCCATGAGTTTGGTCATTTTATTGCGGGCATTTTGTCTAACATCAAGGCATCATGGTCAATAGCACGATATTGATACCTAATCGTTTATTAATTCGACTTTGAGTGATAGGTCCTCGAAAGAATTCTCTAAAATGGGTATTACTCCTTTATTTTGGCTCCATAAGTATAGGTCTTGAGGTCGGTCACGTAAGATCCGCTATTCATGCCTTTCGGAGTTTTTGCTGTTTCCTTACGTGTTAAAAAATTCAACAACCCAGTAAATCTTATTACATGCACAACTACATTTTCTTGCAAACCAATTGAAGTCAATAAAACGCGCGCAAACGCGAATGCCTGAAGCAATCTCATTTACATTGCTAAACTTTACATTCATCTGCTTGTTTCAATTTATGAGCAATAAGGGGACAAACCTATCCGGCGCTTGTATTTTCCGACCTTTTAAACAACAGTTACATGCTTCCTGATAAACCTAAACATTCGAAACGGAAAACCAAAGTTCTCAGGAAGACTAATAACCCAGAATGGAATACTAACTTCGTATACAATGACATCAACCGCAACCAATTGTCGAATATCGGAATCGAAGTGTCCGTCTGGGATCATGGTCGCGTGTCATCCAGTGATTTCTTGGGAGGATGTCGCCTTAACAGTGGTGCTCGTAAGTTTTGCTTCATGGTAAACTGTCTTTCAACAGGTTTGCTGTAGATTAATCCTTATTTGTGCCCTCCGCCTGGCAATCTGTCAGAATTTTACGAAGTGTCATTGTCGAGGTCGGAAATCTTATAGACACATTTGATGGCAATTTCATTTACGGTAGCACTGGACGTGGTCACATTGGCATAAAAAATCAGGACATTGTGAGAATTGTGTCCTCATCCTTAACTAACCACTGTAAACCAGGAACTTCGCTTTTGTGCTACATCGTCGTGACTTTGTACAGCATTTGCAATCTTATTTCCCTTTGTGGTTCTCAAAGTCAACTTTTGATGGTGCCGAACAGACCGTCAGCTGCCTCTAGGCCGAGCAGTAGAATTAATCACAAATATGCCTTTAATCCAGAAATCATTTTATGCTATTTCTCAACTCCTCTTTACACCCGCAAGATGGGCTTTGATCGTGTATACTTGATGGTTTATGGACTAGATAAAATAGGACGAACTATTTATGACGATGGGTTGTGTTCATAGGAGTCCACTGTAGTTTTCTTCATTGTGGACCTTCAACTTTCACACTAGCGAAAGCCGAAATAGAAAACAAAATTATCTGTGTTATATTTCAAGCCAAAATGCCTTGTATTAAGCTTCCTAAAAGTCGAAAACTTTAATCACCTTGTTACAAACAGGTACGCAACCGTGGATGGACGCAAGTGGAACAGAACAATCAATCTGGCTTGCAATGATTCAGCGTCCCCAGACCTGGCTAGAAGGGCTGATCCGCCTCCGATCAAATCTAGATTGAACTCAAGCTACTGAGAAAAACGCGCTGCAAATCTAGTGCCTAACACCGAACGCCTACTTCCCAACTCAAACCTACCACAACTCCAAGTTTCAGAAAACTGATGCAACTAGCCTATTTTTATTTAATCTTATAACGGCTCTTTTTGCAGGCTCTACACCAATGTTCTGAAAAACTAGCATTTTCTATTTATCTTTCTCCCCACCTCTGCTTGTTGAGGGGAAGAGATCGCACGCGAGCCATACTTCGCTTCTTGTTTTGTTTGCTTGGTGATAACTACGGTTTGAAACATTCAATCCAGGATATTTTCATGTTGTCAGCAAAGCGTTACAAAAGTGATGTATTCTGTAAATGTGTCAATTCTCCATCACCACCATTAAAGTCATCCGAAGGAGTTAAACGTTTTGAAACACACTGGTAAAAACTGGACATGAAGAGTCTGTTGGATCTGTTATCTCTACAGCTGGCTATTTCGACACACAAAATTTCAGAACACAAATTGTTTCCTTGTGTGAAGTTCGTGTCGTGTAGACTGAAATCAAAAGCGAAACTCACCGCATAAATAATCCAGCGACCCGGTATGCTCATATTCTCATGTAGCATAGGGAACTGTGAGAAACACTTGAAGAATCAAACTATGTCCTTTGAGCATGATAAATCCATCCTCCCATACTTGATGTTATCCCATCAACCCGATAACTTGTATCAGGATGTGACCCGCGCATCACTACAAGCCGTCAGAATATTGCATAAAATGTTGGATTCCTTTTCGTTGGAAGTCCCCAATTTTTGCGAAGGAAGTCCACTATTCCGCACAAATATTCCAAAATCCTTCAAAAACAATCACTTACAGCTCGGAGCCTACATTAATCCTAACTGTGAAACCACTGTGTTGTGATCGGCCAGTTAATTTGTATCACGGCTTAAGTGCTCCGCCTGTTGATTAGATAGTGCAGGATGGCACCAAAGGTCAATTGCTTAAACATGTGGGCAGCCATTAGTGTGAGTAACTTTAAGTCGGTACACTGAGGCAAGTGAGTTCTGATCTGATGAAAGTTTCCTAGCAGAAAATGGTATACAGAGGATAGAATGTCCATAAAGCGACTTCACTTTCTGAGTATATGCGCTCCTCCTGAATGTCAACAATTCAGATCTGTAAAAAGAGTCACTGAGCGCTCAATATCAGGACTGATATATTCAACAACAAAATGGACGAAAAGAAACCTAAAGCATATCTGGAAATTGTGAAATGAACGACATTTTGAGCAAATAAACTGGATTGTTGTTTATCACTGGGAAAGTCTGATCTATCATTGGCCAGTTTATCAAGCATTTCCACTTGGAACATCAGTCATATTTGATGCAAAGCCGTTTTGAAATAGTCTATATGAAACAACCTGCCACTACCATGTATCCGTTCAACATGCTGCTCAAGGTACTACATTCGGGTCAATACTGTACTGCTGGCCTACCAGTGCAACGTGAGAACAGGCGACAACTTCCCATGGTACGTTCAGTGCATGGATGGAATTTTAAGGAGAAACAGCGAGCACCCAGCTTTGAGTTTGCCGTACATGACGGGAGAATATTTTTCAGGTAATGAGCCCATAGAAGCAAGCGTGTTGTTTTTTTCTGACATGGATAACTGACTTTCTGCGCACAGCTAATCGCGTTTTCAAGCCCTTGAAATGGCAGCAACGTGCTTCAACCTTCAGGAAAACCAGTGTTCCTTGTAGGGAGGTTGTGACCATTATAAATTGTTCAGTCTGGGCCTTTCAGCCTAAAGTCCTTGTCACCACCGAAAAGTGACCCTCTCATTCGGTATGCCTAGATATAAACTGCTCCACTCAGTTCCCTTTCTCATGGATCCGCTCAAGTTTGAGACAGGATAAGTCCTTTGATTTGTGTATAGCAAGTGTACAAAAGTGTCCCAATGTATGGTTCATCTTGCATGTTGGCCCATAGGAAATACCAAACCCGCAGAAATCCTCCATACACTGCTTATCATTAGGCTATCGCTTGATACCACCTTATGTAACCAGCAAGTTCAAAAGCAGCTGATCAAGGTACATGTTCATGTTATCAGTAACCTTACCCACACATTGATGCCACGTTGGGTACTGGGTATGAGCACTATTAGGGACTTTTATTAGTTAATGTGGCAATCCTGAGTCAGCTTACCGAAGTGCAACTCGATGCCATAGAATACTCTCAGTGTTGCATTTTACCACAAAATCCCCGGTATAGCAAGGTACAAAAGAGTGTCCCAATGTATGGTTCATCTTGCATGTTGGCCCATAGGAAATACCAAACCCGCAGAAATCCTCCATACACTGCTTATCATTAGGCTATCGCTTGATACCACCTTATGTAACCAGCAAGTTCAAAAGCAGCTGATCAAGGTACATGTTCATGTTATCAGTAACCTTACCCACACATTGATGCCACGTTGGGTACTGGGTATGAGCACTATTAGGGACTTTTATTAGTTAATGTGGCAATCCTGAGTCAGCTTACCGAAGTGCAACTCGATGCCATAGAATACTCTCAGTGTTGCATTTTACCACAAAATCCCCGTGATTCACGCCCGAGTTACATTATTTTAGGTTTAGCGTTCCTGAATGTAAATAATCCGTATCTTTTCTCATCTTGGAACTACGATGCTTTCCTCAGTTTCTTCTCAATTTTCGGTGGAAAGCGATGATAGAATATTCGTTCCAGTTGGTATCCCAGGTACGGCGTGAATTGACCACGAGAATTTCGACGTAGCAACAGTGCAGAATGTGTCACTCCATGATCGTAATTTGGTCGGCTGCTTGATTTTTTTTCTGATGTCTCTGACCATTTTCCCGTTCCTTAGCGCAGACAGCCGACAAGGTATCTAAATATGAAAAATTAAGTAGTCTAAAAAATAAACCGTTACCATACCTCTGTGAGACACGCTAACACTGTTGCTATTGGCTCGTCAGGTAGGCGTGGACGGGTCAGCCACACGATGTTCTGGTTGCCATTTTCTGACTGCTTCCCAAGACTTGGCGTAAAAGCTTTGTTTCAACCAACTAATTCGAATTCTGGTGTCTATCGATAGCTCACTAGAGGTATTCTAGGCCCTACAGTGGGGTCCATCACCATTCCAATGGGGTGTTTTGGTTGCCCACTGGTGCTGGGCACCACCGCCCCACCGGCAGGTCACATCAAAAGTTTCACACCCTGGAAGTGTTGTAAACGCCGCAACATAATAAAAGATATAGCGATCGTCTGGGGAAACTGTCACTAGGTTAGAAGTACTTTGGTCTCTAGTTGGAAATCCTCAAGTATATGATTGTGGTACCCGAAAATTTGCTTTACCTGATCCTTTTGTTGCAGATATATCTTGTGGTTTGCAACGACTCCTCTCTTTGTGATAATGATTGGGCTGTAATAACGACCGAGAGTGCTGCCACCTACGATCGACGACTCGGAAAAGTTTGGCGCTTAGTAGTGCTGACCGACATCCGTTCCAATGACCAGGCCCCCAGTAACTTTAGGCCAACAAGTCCAAGCTTTTAGCAGATCTACCCGGTGGCGTTAAGCTGAATAAGACGACAGGAATGGTGACATGGGTGTTGATTTAGCATCAAGTCTGCGCATCACCTGCCCGGTGCATTGTAGAAGTCATTACTGAAAGAACTCAAAAAAACTTTCTGTCAGCGTCACCGAATATCTGGATTTGATATTATATCATCCCAACCGTAAGTCGAGTTCAGTTGCGTCACTTTGGTAGAATATGGTAACACCACCACGACGGTGAACTTAAGTGTGCGAAACTTCACGGCAAAGTACTTCTCAGACTTCTTCAGGTGACGCTGTTCAACATCAGGAAACACTTCGTATATGTCGTCGGATGAAAAGACAGAATTCATTATCCCACATGATGAGAGGATACAAATTGTGTGAGTTCCTGGCTACTGACGCCAGGAATTGTACAACTAGGCTTATATTGCATGCAGTACTAGGGTAAGGAGTAATACACGTTGAGCGAGGTCATTGATGAGCGAATGAAATTCTATTGGGCTCTTACCCAAACCAACACTAGTGCCAGCAAAGCCCAGGAATGTGAGCGATTGGGCCCAACCGAGCTGTGCTCAAATAAAAAATATGGACAGATCACACAACCCAAAGTTACCCAAAACATTTCGACATCATAAATGAGAGACAGAGTTTGGTTCGGCTGGGTCTTCCACTGAAATCAAATCAGTATGCAAATGAGTGTATCTCGTGAATGTCGTGGAACACTTTATTCCCCAGTCAGCCTCAAAGTAAGATCAAGCTGATGAAACAGGAAAAACGGAGGAATGACCTGATTCCAGTTGAAAGAAATGCTTTCGTCAACATGAAAACGGATGCGGGTGTTTGTTAGGGGAGAAAGACTTAGGTGGGCGCATCAGTCTTTGCATAAATAGGAAGAAGGATATTTAGATAGACGGATGAAAGGATAGATAGATGGTTGGATTATTGGACAGATGTATGGAGGTATAGATAGATAGATAAATGGCACACACAAGAAAGCAATGTGCGGGATGTGATCATTCTTGATGTAATTATGCTGTGATAGCTCTTGCAGATGGAATTATGAACACGCACGTTTTTTTGAATCATCCCTAGTTTGACTGCAAGTGCTTACTGATGACAGGTCTGAGCGGTATGGGTAGAACTATTCATGCTGTTAAAGGGAATTAACTTACTGCTAAGTACTTTATACGGATATTTGAGAATGCCTTTCATTGTCACTCATACGGCGATACGCGACATAGAAAGCATCTTGAAAATCTCATTTTTACGCAATAAACCAGTTTAGGATATGGGTGTAGCAGAAATGGAGTAGAAAATATGTGAAGCGAAACTTGGGGTAAATATGAAACAACAAATGGAACCATCGCCACATTTCAAAAATAAAGCTGGGTTGATGGCTTTTACTTGTGGTTTTTAAGTAAAAAATTCCATCGAGAAATACATCCTTTGCAAATCAATTTGGTTTCCACGAGAGACTCTATTGAACCTCTTGGTTATGATGTCCTCCAGCTGAATGTGCTGCACACAGGCCGCCTCATGATTCAGTTGGCACGATATTCGGGATATCGCAGTACATTTTCATAAAGGAAACTACTCCCAAGGTTGCTGAAAACTCTTCGACAGCCCACGACTGGTTTCGCCCTTCTTAGGGCTCATCAGATAGGCGCAGTCCCCGAGCTCCAAGAAGGGCGAAACCAGTAGTGGCCTGTCGAAGAGTTTTCAGCAACCTTGGGAGTAGTTTCCTTTATGAAAATGTACTGCGATATCCCGAATATCGTGCCAACTGAATCATGAGGCGGCCTGTGTGCAGCACATTCAGCTGGAGGACATCATAACCAAGAGGTTCAATAGAGTCTCTCGTGGAAACCAAATTGATTTGCAAAGGATGTATTTCTCGATGGAATTTTTTACTTAAAAAATCACTAGGAATGTTGACGGCATCATGTCTAGCTCCGTCTGCAAAAAAACCAACTGGACAGTAAGGCACCCCAATTTCCTGTCCTGTGCAATGCAACAGTATTTTCATGGATAAGACTAATTTGCAGTCCAAACATGCTCTTTGAGGAAGTTCACTTGCTGAACTATGTGCTGTCGTCAAACAACCGTCCCGACAGTTCCACTGAAAACCATTCCAGAACAAGCGATGAAAAGTTGCAAATCATAGTACTCTTCACGCTAGTGATCATGTATTAGTCGGCTTAAGTGTAAACCTGAACCAAAAATACAATACGGCACAGCTGAACGTTAGGGAATGTAGAGTGACTATGCTATTGCCGCTGATCCCAATTACAATGTCGATCTTGTCAACTAGTCATTGCATTTACCAAATCAGCGGCAGTAGCAGGGATATGTATATTACTAGAATCGACCAGAGGCTAGGAATTCTAGCAAACGATCGTCTGCCCAAACGAGCTTGTACCCACTAGGCTAATCTTGATTTAACTTGAAAGAATTATAAAATCAAGTCAGTGATTACCGGGCATTTGATAGAGACGTGGCACAACGCTGACCATTACTGCCCTTTCTGTTTCATAGCACGATGTAGTCGTCCACCTAGACTGAAGCTCCTCAAAGCAACATCGGTTGATCGATCTAAGTTCCCACTGTAAGATCACCGCGGTTTTATTGGTAGGCTGCGCTACAGTTTAGTTTTATGCAAAGTATGCAACTAGTTGCATTTTGCTCCACTTTAACCCTGTTACACTTATCACGACAGACGAAATTACGTGAACTGAACCCGCCCGGTAGCATTGTTTTCCTCACTGGCTTGTCCAAACTCATCCGTTTAAAGCCTTAAAATAAGTGATGGAAAAATCGCACCTTAACGAGTTCCGCTGTAACGTGGAAAGTAGAGAAGGTTGCCTTTTAATTTTTGTGTACTTCAAGCGGGAGGAAAATTAAGTAAGGCAAGCCACCGGTGAAAAACGGCCGCGCCAACTAAGGTCAAGCCGGCGCAAGTATTGTACAATAAGGAATTGCCAGGAAAAAAACAAAGCTTTAATTGTGTGGCTGCTTTTCTACTGCATAATTTGATTACACTGGACCGATCAACCTGGATTTTAATTTCTTACTTCCTGTCCGCCTTCGGCATTAGTAGGTATGCATTTATCTTTGAAGTGGTTCAGGATGCACGCAACTAAAGAATTTGTTACTAAATAATGAACGTTTTAAAGAGAAAAATTGATTATACGATTCAAAAGCTAGACAAAAGAACTTTCAGCTGAATGAAGATACAGGGTTAGTGGGGATTAGAAAATTCTTATGGTCGCTTTAGCTGGAGCGTAAGTCGCATGCGGACAGGTTTCAGTGTGCAGGCTTAAAGTAAATACGGTGTGAAAAGGGAAGCACAAGTAAGAACGCATCAAAATGTGACGGTCGATGAGTAAAAAAGGTGCATGTGATTGGCAATAATGCAAATGAGGGGAGGTGTTAATAGTATGAGAATTCATCCGAAGAATCAGGTCCAGAAGGAGTAGGCCTCTATAATAAGATCCGTTTAAGGTGATGCTTTGATAAATAAACTAACGTTGAAAATAAACTCAAAAGTAGGGGGAAGCTCGCTCAAAAATCCAATCAAGAAACTTGGCGGTTCGTACATAAATTAGCTTAAAAATGGATAGAAAAATGGGTTTGTTTGATACTGTTAGAAATCCAATATTACCAACAAAATATTATAACTAACCTTATGCACATAGTGTCCAGTCCGCATGAGCACGCGGTCAAGTTGAAGACATTCGTCTGAAAGTACAGGTACTCAGAACATAATACCAAAAATTCTGTTCGACTACAGTCCCAATCAACCTCTGGGCAAATATTTTGCATAAGCCTTGTTTTTGCTGAAAACCCTTCAGCAACCTTGTGAAAATATACTGCGATACCTCGAGTACCGTGCCAACTGAAACATGAGGCGGCCCGTGGCACATTCAGTGTAGAATATCATAAGCCGAGAGATCAATTGAGTTTCTCGTGAAAACCAAATAGTTTTGCAAATGAGTACATTTTTTGTAACTCTGCCTTGTAAAGCTGTTTGATATTGAAAGGAGATACCAGAAAGGGGATTTGCAACGATCTTTCGTGTGCACCAGTGCAAACTGGACACCAAGGAACACAAGACAAATACACTATTTAAAAACGGATTCTCGAAGTTGCAGCAAGCAAACTGACGAAATATTAAACAAGTAGAATTGATATTCTAACTTTTCAAAACAGAAATTTCGACCCTAACGGCTTTAATAAATGTTTCGTGGTCCAGGATGGGGTGGTCTCTCCAGTTTAGATATCCCATAGGAGCTCAAGATACCAAAGCAATTCGTCTTCACCGGAACATGCAGCCTTTCGATTTTTGGGTCTAGGAGTTGAACAGTCTGTACTTTGGCGTCTTCTCAGTAGGTTCACCCACCAGTGAACTACGTCAGTTGGTTTCTCCCAGAAAGTTGTGAAGTATTTATGTATTCATGTCTGAAGTAACGCGGTTTGCAAAAATTACTTGAAACTACGCCTGTGACACTGCTACTCGCATATCTGGTTCCCTTTCTAGCTACTATGAAAATAGAAGTAGCATGGAACCAAAATCACATCAAACAGTCGACAATATCATCGGTAATGTTTGCGGAAAAATGTGCTTGACACAAAAGCAATGGCATTCAAGAATACCAAGAAAAACAACAGGCGTCAAATAGTAAGGTTTCCAATTTTAAATTGTTTAGAAGACCTTAAATGATAACGTGATATCCACACGCGTGTTTTCCCCTCCGAACCACTGGTCTTTACCATTCCCCACATACGTCCCAGGTATTCCAAGTATATTTTCTATCCGACTCTACCTGAGGCACAAGTAACAGTCACATGAACCCGCATGTCCATGTTTTTTATCAGTAGTTATTTGATCCTTCTGGAATAGGGTTCAGCTGAAACATGAAGCTACTTTTGCGTGGTAAAATTTGATGAAAATATCGCAAAGGAAAGGTACGCCTGAGTCGAAGGTAATACCGTCCCATTTTCAAGCAAATGCCAAGCCGTATGAGTGTCTTGTTTGCCGCTCAGACCAGAAATGGAGAAGATGGTAGATCTGGGACGATTTTTTCCTGATTAGTCTTAAAATGGTGAGACTAGCAGCAGGTAGTATTCAACTATCCGGGATTAAATCTGCTTTAACATGTGGCAATAAATCCATCTGAAAAAACGATTGGAATATTTCACTCTGGAGCGTTTCTCAGCTCTTCCAGATAGACTCGGTTCTGACTCAGCCATGATATTCAGTTGGCTGTTGTTACTATTGAGATTGCCCTCTTATGAATCCTTCAGGATTGCAAAGGACAATTTTGTTGGAGTTGTTCAAATAGAGGTGATTTAAAACTTGGTATATCACCATGCCTTTCTGAGTTTGTCATCCACGGTGGACGTACGAGCTCCTTCCTTATTTAAGTGCACCAGTAGCTAGAATCGTATGTCACAAAAAACTGACCAGAAACCTCTGCTTCTGTATAATTTCTTACGAAAAGAGCATTGCACCATATGTCATGGTCTAAAGATAAACTCTCCAGGAGGTTATATACAGAACAGTCCCACCCACCCTCATCCCATAAATAATAAGGGAATACTGGAATCAGTCAGTCTCTCCAGTTGTTTAAGCCGTCGAGTGCAATTGGACGCCAGTTTAGTAAAAGCTCGTTAGTACAGGGACAGATGATTACTATGATTAATCTTATAGCATTGGCAGTTTAGTCGTGCTTGCTTGCAGACACCTTATTGAAGTAAAAATCAAAGTTTCCAAATGATCTACATACTTCCACCTGTGTGTCCCTCATGAGAAGACTCATGAGGAAACTCAATTCGGTTGCGTCACTGAGTAATAATGAATACTTGGCTTTCATACTAGCTTAGCTGATCCACGTTCTCATCAGAAGACTTTGAATAGGGCATTTTAAATTCCCTCTTAAAAGTACTAGATTTTATGATCACCCAATTTCACTACCATTGTATTTAGTGTCATATGGTTATCTAGCAGGCTGGAAACTTTACCAAAATCCTGGCGAAATTGAACAGAAGGCCGGAATATAGAGGCCCGAGTAGCAGAAGTTCGCGACTAAGTAGTACGTTGGTACAGAGAAACTGCGTGTTGCTGGATGGTGGTTTACCCTGAGGGAACCTGTTAAAGTTTAAATGGATAGTGTGAACAGGATTCGCACAAGAAACGCTAGGCCTTAACTAAAAGTAAAAATACCCCATACGGAGAAACGGATACCTAAGAAATTTTATCCAGTGGTTGCTTAGCAAATTGCGTGCAACTAGCACAGCAGCGCACAGGATAAGCGAACGAAGTACGCTTTCATACACTAAGAACATCCATGAAATTGCCTCGTAACTTTCAGGGCAACATGATAGCCTAACGATCGGTGAACATCACGTGCAGGGAACTATCGAAACCAAATGAAAAACGGGTCTACTAAAGAAAAATTTTGTTGTACTTAAGATCCAATGCAAAAAACGCAACTACCACTACGTTGGAGAACACAAGAAGGAAAATTTATTGCTAAAACTCTAAATCGATTGTCACTAAGCTTTCGACACAAAGAGCAGAGAAGCAAATGATTTTCCACGAATGATTTCTACCTACTTGTTTCCGGTAATTACAAATAATGAACAGGGATTTCTGGAGAAATGTTACTTTACCGAAGACTCCCCATTGAAAATGATTGAATTTTGAAAATGTTTAGTAACTTTCATGAGAGATTTCTTTTTGTCATTGTAGTCAATCTATGCTGAAAATCCAACAAGTACTGCACAAGTATTTCATCCTTACTAGGAATCAATAGCAGTGCGCATCTCAGAAAACCAAGAGTTTTGAACCCGTTCGGATATTACCGACTGAATATCAGCCTGATGAATCCTTACCTGGGAAAGAGCGATGCACATCTTGGAATTCCTCGCTCGATGGACCAGTCAACAACTTGATGTGGTTTGCGTGACTGAGCGATGATCGACGGTATATCCTGTGAAAACCAGTCATAGTGGTGTTCAGCCGCTTATGGCAGAACGATTAAGCGTTCAGTCACTGGCCGGAATGTCGCGCTTTCGTGAGATGCGCACTTCTGATGATTCTCAATAACGACGAAATAGCTGTACGGTGCTTCTTGGCTTCTCAGCTTAGGCTGGCCTCAATTATGGGGCGAAATTTCTGATGGATATTGAAATAAGCCCAATTTGCCCCCTCCCGATAAAGGCGAAAAAACTTCAAAGCTATAAGGTCTAAAACTATGCAAGAATCAGAAGAGGAGCTCAGAATAATAGGGAATCCTGCAAATAACGGATAGCTCATTTCAAGTGGGATATGCGCCAAGCTAATCACCTAAAGTTCAGAAATAAGGGCATCAACCATTACAAATAAGGAAACAGGAAAGCCTAACTAATTAAACAAAGTTAAGGAAATCAGGGCACAACACAAGACTTATTGTGAATAGACCAGTCAAAAAGAGAGTAGAAAACTACTTAGAAAGCAGAACGTATCATGAAAAGCAATCAAGCGAAAAGGTAGCGGTCGAGAGCGGCGCAATAATTTCGAACGAACCAGCCAAGGGATCATTCAGTTCTAAGGAACGTTTATCCAACGAATTTACGGAACGTATGTCATATGGACCTTAAGGCAACACAAATCACAAACGGGCAAATGATCGCAGAGGAAAATTGTCTCCCCTTTAGCAATCACACACTTAGATTGTTCCACTGAGATTCCAAAGCATATCTTGAGAACCCCAAAACAAGCGACAGACAATGCGCATTCTGTTAATCACAGTTGGCTGCTGACGAACTTAGAATCTGCTCTCTGAGCTGTACTGATTTCGAGAAGCTATTATGAACGGTTTCGACGTTACCATCATGCCGTGCTGCTCTAAACAGTCTAGTAACCCCAGATTACGTCCATGTGATCCCTGAAGTATATTATGCAACTTGCGGGGCTCCTGAATGGGAAGCCTCATAAAGCAAGCCTGGTTCTTATTGACTGAAGTTGATTAGCTGGCTTACGAATGGTGTATCCGCTATCCTCATTCCTCCAAGACATTTCAAAGTCACATTATGTGAACTATACGCTCTTTGTCAACACATATGCAGGGAATGTACTCCTCGTTTTTTTCTGAAAAATTCTATATGACCATCACTTGATTCCACTGCTGGTGTACTAAATTCGCTAGCACTCTTTTAGCCTTGAAGGGCCTGTAATACTGCTATCCATTTCAAATCAATCTTCAGTACAACCAAACTTACCTTGACTGGCTTTACTCTTACGAGCACCTTTATGTAATGGCTTCTTACCAGTATGTTATTGACTGTCACTCGTGGTCCCCTCAGGAATTATCAACCCTCCTTTAAGTTGGATAGAGTTCACCGTTAGATCGTGAATCAACCTACTACAAAGTAAATAACAATAATAATAAGAGTGACAAGGTGGACAAGTTAACATTTTGGTGACGTCAGAATTGGACTCTGGAAATTCGAACAAACGGCAGAAGGAAAACAATGCCCACTCACTACTAAGTCATGCAGATACAGAACCAGAACTCAAAGTATCGGTAAAGTTTCCAGGTGAGCAATGCGGTGTTTTGCAAGGGATTGATAGGCGACGGGTGAAATCAAAGAAACATGTGCGGGCTGAAAAACGAAATTTCTAGAGAGTGCAGAAAGCGGATAGAAAGGTCAAAGTAGTAACGGAAAAAATCTAAAGGAAAAAGGGGGATCAATCATCCGGGTAGTCATCATTGTAAGGTGGCCAGATGTAGTACAGAATAGACTATATGTTGGGCTAGGTGCAAAACATCACCTGCACTTTTAATCAGCAAGTAATTTTGTCCACGGGTCCTGGAAGTAGTTTGAAGAAAATCCGTTCAGGAAGTTTATGATGGGAGGAACAGCACAGCGCTACACAAGTGACAGCAGGGAAAGTACGGTGGCGAATAATGATTGGCCGGGAGGAACTGAAGAGTTCAAAATAAAAATAACTACCATTGCAGAATGACAAACTGAAGAAATAAGAATAAATAAAATAACGTACTGATAATGATACTGATAAAATAAAGAATAATAAACAAAAAGTAACTGTACCGAAACTGCTGGGAACTAACTGCAGAAATTGACATAAATCACACATTAGTACCGCTGGTTTGGGCTCGGAGAAAGGAAACTTGAAAACAACGGAATTTTAGGGGCACTCGAGACCTCTTATATGACAAAACCATGCAGTGGGTTAAACATATTAACGTGATGCACACGGAAGCGAACATGATAAGAAGAAAGGGTGAAAGCATACGATTTACGCAAGGGGTTGTTATATTGAAGAGAACGTGAAGAAATCAAAAAACAACAGATCGCTATGTCTGTGTTGATTCACTGTCAGTATAAGAAGTTCTGGTGGTAATCACGGAAGGTGCGTTATTTTTGGGGTGCTCTGTGCACCGCTTGCGAGTGACTTGGAGCCATCGGGGTAGGAACGTTGCGCGTCGGCTTTAATGGCTGTGGCAGTTGCTCAGCGTAATGGGACTGAGTTGAGAGACTGGTGTTCGGATATGTAGTGTTGTAGCGAATACAGTCAGCAATTTTGTTCAGCATGTTCGGACGATCTTGGAGCAGTGGGAGCCGCAGAGTTGAGTAAAGTGAGGCTTAAGAGTATTCTCCCAAAAAACCAAACAACATTAATAGCATTGCATCACGTTACTATTGCTTAACCCCTCCATGCAAAGTTCATACAAGGAGGTCAAAAATTTTGGGAACAGGATTCTGTTTATAGACCTTCAGAAACTGAGCATCTGTAATAACAATAATGAAAAGGTTCTTTCTGGGTTTGGTGTTCCTCATCTACAGGACACGAAGCAATTATTTAGTGACGTCCAGTTGATCCGGTCTGGATGTTTCTGTCCCATAATCGTAATCGTTTTTGGTGCGCAGACTTATTGCCCTGAGTGATATGAATGTAATAAAGTACATACCATAATGTAGTAATGTGTGGCACTGGTCACTGTAGACCACCAAGCTACAGTAAATCTGATTCGTTAAGTCATACATCAAGCCTGTCCTAATGTTGTTCATTACATCATGTAACAACACCAGTATAGTGACATTTCATCCCATAAATGTTCGCATATCAACCAGGTTGTGTTATGATTCCTTTTGCCTGCCTACGCTACCCCAGCCTAACCAACTGACCGCTCGTCCACTCTTTGATGAGTACAATGGATAGACTTTGATTCTTTTCTGACCACCTAAGTTGATGAACTCCCGGTGAGTCTGACGGATGTTATAAGCGAGGTTGTCACTTCTTCCTCGTGGTCGGCATAGTTTGTCCCATGAATACAAAGCCAAGCTCACATACATCAATCGCTACTCACATGCTTTAGGAACGAAGTAATATAGAAAGTGCAGAGTGTGCGTTCTGATAACAAAACATAGCAGTAAAATAAGGAAGGTCTACCCGGTCACATTTTTACCGGGACACATACATTCACCTCACCCACGAGGATTGTCAAACTGAAACAAACAGATTATCTGATAATACTTGCAAACAACAGTAATAAAAAAGAACTGAAAGGGATGATATAGTGTTTCCCATTTTTAACGGAGTAGCTGTGCTCGCCTTTGTGAATCCTGTACTTTAAGGTACACTGAAATCAATCCTATTCTAAGTATTTATTTGTTTTTATTTATTTATCTTGTATTATTTATTGTTATTTCAAGTGGGAAATCCAAACAGGAAAAATAGTAATAAAAAGCATTTTCGGCGTAGAAATGGTCCGCTTTTTGGGGATTGTGGAAAATTCTTGAAAAGTTCACCGACAGTTCACTACTGTTTTATCTCCTTTTGAGTAATCTAAATTACTTAACGTTGTGGATGATTTAGTTCAAATAAATCATGAGGCGATCTTTGTGCTGCACGTCATATTGGAAAGCATCATGCACGAGAGAGACACTTTATTTTTTTTCAAACAGAAAAGGATATGAGGCAAAGGAGAGGTTTCTGGGTCTGTTTTCTCTTTTCAGGGTTGTCATACAGCTAAACCAATGCTGGCTTGGCCACGTGCTGCTTATACCAGTCGACCAACTTCCTCGAAGGGTATTTTTCGCACATACGTGAAGGGTGGAGGAGATCCAGAGGCGGTCAAACAATGAATTGGCAGCGAAGTACAAAGGCCATCACCAGAAAACTCAGCTGCGCTTGTCATTGCCGTCTTCATGGATGAAACCCTGAGACGGGCCACACCAATGGTTAGAGACATTGTCAGACATGGCTCAGTCGCGCCCTCAACGGCGCTCGCGCATCCAAGTTATTGCCTTCAATGCATAGCTCCCTTCCCAATCCCCCCGCTTGACGGTCCACTGACAGTGCTGGATTCATGCACCACTTTATCAGCTCCCGCCTCCAATGCGCAGCTGTCTAACCAAAACCCCAAATCATCGGTGAACGAAACTGCACAGGTACAACCACTGTACGACAAGTACGAGGTTTTACAGCTCATGATGATGATGATGATGATGGTGACAATGATGATGATGATGATGATGATGATGATGATGATGATGATGATGATGATGATGATGATGATGATGATGATGATGATGATGATGATGATGATGGCGAATAATGATTGGCCGGGAGGAACTGAAGAGTTCAAAATAAAAATAACTACCATTGCAGAATGACAAACTGAAGAAATAAGAATAAATAAAATAACGTACTGATAATGATACTGATAAAATAAAGAATAATAAACAAAAAGTAACTGTACCGAAACTGCTGGGAACTAACTGCAGAAATTGACATAAATCACACATTAGTACCGCTGGTTTGGGCTCGGAGAAAGGAAACTTGAAAACAACGGAATTTTAGGGGCACTCGAGACCTCTTATATGACAAAACCATGCAGTGGGTTAAACATATTAACGTGATGCACACGGAAGCGAACATGATAAGAAGAAAGGGTGAAAGCATACGATTTACGCAAGGGGTTGTTATATTGAAGAGAACGTGAAGAAATCAAAAAACAACAGATCGCTATGTCTGTGTTGATTCACTGTCAGTATAAGAAGTTCTGGTGGTAATCACGGAAGGTGCGTTATTTTTGGGGTGCTCTGTGCACCGCTTGCGAGTGACTTGGAGCCATCGGGGTAGGAACATTGCGCGTCGGCTTTAATGGCTGTGGCAGTTGCTCAGCGTAATGGGACTGAGTTGAGAGACTGGTGTTCGGATATGTAGTGTTGTAGCGAATACAGTCAGCAATTTTGTTCAGCATGTTCGGACGATCTTGGAGCAGTGGGAGCCGCAGAGTTGAGTAAAGTGAGGCTTAAGAGTATTCTCCCAAAAAACCAAACAACATTAATAGCATTGCATCACGTTACTATTGCTTAACCCCTCCATGCAAAGTTCATACAAGGAGGTCAAAAATTTTGGGAACAGGATTCTGTTTATAGACCTTCAGAAACTGAGCATCTGTAATAACAATAATGAAAAGGTTCTTTCTGGGTTTGGTGTTCCTCATCTACAGGACACGAAGCAATTATTTAGTGACGTCCAGTTGATCCGGTCTGGATGTTTCTGTCCCATAATCGTAATCGTTTTTGGTGCGCAGACTTATTGCCCTGAGTGATATGAATGTAATAAAGTACATACCATAATGTAGTAATGTGTGGCACTGGTCACTGTAGACCACCAAGCTACAGTAAATCTGATTCGTTAAGTCATACATCAAGCCTGTCCTAATGTTGTTCATTACATCATGTAACAACACCAGTATAGTGACATTTCATCCCATAAATGTTCGCATATCAACCAGGTTGTGTTATGATTCCTTTTGCCTGCCTACGCTACCCCAGCCTAACCAACTGACCGCTCGTCCACTCTTTGATGAGTACAATGGATAGACTTTGATTCTTTTCTGACCACCTAAGTTGATGAACTCCCGGTGAGTCTGACGGATGTTATAAGCGAGGTTGTCACTTCTTCCTCGTGGTCGGCATAGTTTGTCCCATGAATACAAAGCCAAGCTCACATACATCAATCGCTACTCACATGCTTTAGGAACGAAGTAATATAGAAAGTGCAGAGTGTGCGTTCTGATAACAAAACATAGCAGTAAAATAAGGAAGGTCTACCCGGTCACATTTTTACCGGGACACATACATTCACCTCACCCACGAGGATTGTCAAACTGAAACAAACAGATTATCTGATAATACTTGCAAACAACAGTAATAAAAAAGAACTGAAAGGGATGATATAGTGTTTCCCATTTTTAACGGAGTAGCTGTGCTCGCCTTTGTGAATCCTGTACTTTAAGGTACACTGAAATCAATCCTATTCTAAGTATTTATTTGTTTTTATTTATTTATCTTGTATTATTTATTGTTATTTCAAGTGGGAAATCCAAACAGGAAAAATAGTAATAAAAAGCATTTTCGGCGTAGAAATGGTCCGCTTTTTGGGGATTGTGGAAAATTCTTGAAAAGTTCACCGACAGTTCACTACTGTTTTATCTCCTTTTGAGTAATCTAAATTACTTAACGTTGTGGATGATTTAGTTCAAATAAATCATGAGGCGATCTTTGTGCTGCACGTCATATTGGAAAGCATCATGCACGAGAGAGACACTTTATTTTTTTTCAAACAGAAAAGGATATGAGGCAAAGGAGAGGTTTCTGGGTCTGTTTTCTCTTTTCAGGGTTGTCATACAGCTAAACCAATGCTGGCTTGGCCACGTGCTGCTTATACCAGTCGACCAACTTCCTCGAAGGGTATTTTTCGCACATACGTGAAGGGTGGAGGAGATCCAGAGGCGGTCAAACAATGAATTGGCAGCGAAGTACAAAGGCCATCACCAGAAAACTCAGCTGCGCTTGTCATTGCCGTCTTCATGGATGAAACCCTGAGACGGGCCACACCAATGGTTAGAGACATTGTCAGATATGGCTCAGTCGCGCCCTCAACGGCGCTCGCGCATCCAAGTTATTGCCTTCAATGCATAGCTCCCTTCCCAATCCCCCCGCTTGACGGTCCACTGACAGTGCTGGATTCATGCACCACTTTATCAGCTCCCGCCTCCAATGCGCAGCTGTCTAACCAAAACCCCAAATCATCGGTGAACGAAACTGCACAGGTACAACCACTGTACGACAAGTACGAGGTTTTACAGCTCATGATGATGATGATGATGGTGACAATGATGATGATGATGATGATGAGACCAACGACAGTGCTGGGATTTACTTCCCGTGTGCATCACTCTATAGGTCAAACCGATTAGTGGGTAGCACCAGCATGTCATAAATTTCTCCTTTTGTGCGTCTTATGAGCGGTGAGGATTCCCAAATAGTCTTTCGCGTGTGTGCCTGTATGTATGTGTGCACGTATGCGCCTGCGGGCACATGCGTATATGTGTGAGTTGATAGGTAACAAACCAAGCACACTTAAACTTAACTTGGCATTCGGTGTTCTGATCACCATGCTCAAGTATCCTCGCAACAGTGGAGATCAGCGGAGAATATATCTTCCAAACGTTGGAAGTAGTTTGGTTAGTGGCGAAATTACATGCCCAAAAGTTGGGTAAACCTTCAAAGTGGAGTCGAACACCACAATTTATTCCGATTGTGCACAATTAAGGGACAAATTAGCCGGTCTTACGCTGAATAGTTTATTTTTTACTGTTTTCAGTTTTTGAGGAGAGCCTTTGGTTTTTTGTTCAAGGCATCTGAGTGTACGAGGCGATACATTCCGCGCCACAATCTCAGTATATTAGTTCATGAAGAAATGCGACTGGATTACTGTAATTAATTAAAGCACCGTAAATTCGGCGGAGAGGAAGGTAGACCACTGTACCACTGTATATCAGTTATAGCCTATGCATGGAATGCCATGAAAATGAAAAACTGCTTGGTAGTGCTCCTGCGTTATATCGCAATCTGAAGAAGAGAGTCATGCGAGGCGCACCGGCCATGGTAAGTCAGGGCAACCTTCGTCAGGGACCGATGGAAGCAGTCAACGCAGATCACTTCAAAAACCACATTCTTGTTGACACCTACCTGAACCTGAATTCGACGGTGAGCTACCAACCAGCTTTTGATTTGCAAAACTTACCATAGCCTACATAGTTCAGCCCTACGACTCTCAATTGCGCATTGGTTGGACATAGTGCAGAGACGCCAGAGACGCCAGTGTCGTTCATTGTCGAAGACAATCAATGAGTTAAAAAAGAGTGGTTGAATCCATCTGGAGTTGCTAAGCTTTTTGCTCAAACACACCAACGTCCGGGCCACCTAGTCACAAATAGGTGGAAGTGCCTTTGCTCGCCAGTTACTGACACCACTACTATTACCATACACTTTCAAACAACATAATCACAGACACAAAAAAATGCGAGAAAAAAATGTGGGAGGGTGTATAAGAAGAAATTAGATTAAAAGAGGAAAACGTTCTATTCTAGGGCATGCTATCAACAGTCCCCACTCGTTCCCAATGTTAGTATGTTAAAAGCGAAAACACTCGAAGTAAGGCCGAATGATGCTGAATGCCATTCATGACGGAATAGACCCCAAGACTGGCATGTCAGGCACAAGTTTTCCGCTATAGAGGGCCTAATGCGAAAGTCAGTGGCATGGATGAATACTCAATGTCATAAGTGTCATAAGCACTTGGAGTTCTCAAAGTGGTAAGGGAAGACAGGACACTGACTGTGACCTTAGGAAGCATCAGTCAAAAATGACTTTGTTGGGTTCAGAAAAGCGGATCTTCTATATGAAATGATCAGCCGTTCGTGAACCAAAACTATCCGCATCATAATCTATGGCACTGAACTCGTGTCGACTGAATATCTGAGACTCGAATCTGACGTGATCCAGCAGGACTGATAGACCAAACTCTGCGATGGACCACAACTTCTACGACTAAAAACCGTCTGCTCATCATGACCATATCACGTGCTTCCAACTCTCATCCTAAGCAGGTTACACCGCGGACAAATACGCAAGGAAAAAGGTCTTTTCGAAACACAAGCCAGAGATGTAAAGATGTGAAACAAACAACCTTTTCAAGCCAGGACCATCAAAGCTGTTGTGTAGATTCTTATTCCCAGCAGCCACCAGTTCTTCCTTGGTATTCACGCATCCACCTTGGACTCGGGCTGGAAGGCTGAGATCCCGAACAACCTTGCCAAATGCAGGATCATTAGCCATTTTACGTAGTACTCGGCTCTGAGTGGACGGACACTTTTCCATACGCGCTCTCCGCTGCATCGGGATAGTTCAACGCAGGCCTCGGAGTCTCCCGTGTTATTGGTTGTTGATCCCACCCAACTGCGCACTGGTGATATCTACTCGCATGGTGACGAAACGTTTTCAAATCAATTTCTAAGTCCAACAAACAGATCAACAACCATTAAACTCACCCTAGCCACCCATAGTTCAGCGCAGCTACACATGTTTTTTGCTGGTCTGGATGTGGATGATTGATGTGCTCTTTGGTAGACGTAGCCAGCCACAAATAGTTTGCCTGATCTAACTGAGCGTTGTGGTGGACTTGGTCGATCAAGATCGAATGTACCATTCCCGGTATTAAATAGTTTACTACTTCGAAAAGTTGGTTCACTGAACCCACTGACCTATTACAGTGCATACTACTGATGACATGTGAGTTCTGCAGTGTCCGCGTGGCCTCCCGAATTCGATGAAATTTTGGTAGAAAATTATGGATCCGTTTGCAGAGTTCGTCCATTATTGTCTAGTCCTTGTGGGTACAACAAGACGATTGAGAGCATTTATTTTTCAAGCACCTCGTGCAAATGATATTTTCAGTTTCACCTCTAACAGCTTGTAACCGTTTAGTCCATGTAGATGAGTAACTCCATACTGGATAACGTTTTATGTTTCACCACTACTGATACTGCCATCACAGTGCTGAGGAAATCTGAAGTGTAAATGGACGTTTTATCCTACATAAAGCAAATATAGTGCTAGCATCTCCTGACCTAGAATGCACAAACAAGGGTTTTATTGTGTCTGGCCAAAGCTCATTCATTGACCCTGTAACAGTGGAAAACTGACGCGTCTCACGCTCTTGGCGTCCGGTTTATATTTATTCACACTCAGGTAAGTTCAACTGTTAGTGCGTTGCGTACCTCTGGTGGTTTGTTGTACTGACAGTCGAAAGTCAACTGAGCAGTTCCCTAGGTGCACTCTAGAAAAAAGGTGTTCAGAGTTTGTGGACGACTGTACCAAACAGATTCTCAGGAAAAGTTTGCCGCCATTCGTGAAACCAATCTTTTTCGTCAGTTTCGCCTACTTGTGAGTAGCTTGAGTAGTATATTGAGTAAGAAAATCCTTCATATTGTTCGCTGGCTGTTGGCACGGCTGGTGAGGTTGGAGTTCCTGCATCTTGAAAAAACGACCACTGATCATGTCTAAGGACGTTTCGGTAGATTTCGTCTGTCGGGGTTGTAGTTTATAAATTCGCCGTCAGGAATGTCGAGTCGAAATTTCATCCCGAAAACGAAACTAACTAAGCTGTGCTGGTGCCCTGAGAACAGCTGTTTCGTCACTACTGGGAATCATAATTTGTACAGATTTCACTAACTTGTGGGATAACTTGAACTCAAGAATTTCAGTTGTTAAATGGAACATCTAGAACGGACCCTGCACAAAAGCACCATTGAAAGCTCACCTTTTTATATACATATAAGAACTTCCTCACTTTTGAAGGTGTTCTTCGTAGACGATGTCTATGTGGTGGGGAGGTTAACGCTGACCGATACTTTCTGTAGAGTGCCTGAAATCAAGTTCCTTACTATATATTTATGAGTGATATCCCGTTAGTCTCAGGCACGGAACATTTGTGAACTTTTGTCAGTTGCTTAATTTCTGTTCAGTGAAACATTCCTGTTTTTTTTAAGAGCGAACATGGCGATGGTCAACTGCTTGCCAAAGCCCGGACAGATGCCTCTATCACAACGTAAGTCGCACAACCAATAAGACCAGAAAAAGCCCCATTTCAGTAGTTTCGTGCCCGTCGCGCACAAGTGCAGATCGAAAGGAATCCTCTTTGGTGAAGCACATGAAATATGTGCCCCCGAACAGAGGTGATCAAACAGCAGTTCATCAAAAGTGTCACCTTCACCAGTGTATACCCATAACAGTGTATTGGGGCTAAGTGCCGGGCTAACAGACCTCAGATAGTTCAGGGGTTACGTACCTGCCTATGGTTCCATAAAATATCACATTGCGGATAATGAGCTTTAATTGTTGATCGTACCCACCAGGCAGCACAAATATGCGCATTCCGTGGGGCTACTGATATTTACGTCTACAGTTATTCCAAAAAGCATCCGATCAACACGTTTCTCATGTTATTTATCCGTCCGCTTGCAGTGCACGTATCTGTAGGAACCGAAATATCTTGGAACGGGAAGGAAGCTGCATCAAGAAATAAATACTAGGAAGTATGACATAGGATAACTTTACACCAGACACAAGAACTCTGATTTGGGTGTCGTCGACCGCAAGACTCCTCTTGAGCAAGAGCTTTTTTCTTGAACCCGGTGAGTCATCCATTGTAATACATCCAACCTTGGCCCTCATTTTTTTCTTTTGGTGAGGTGATGTTGATGAAAATTCATACGTTCATCCAGTGTGCACAGAAAACATCGCATCAGACTTTTAGGTTATGCGGATCTTATGTACCTCGCTGCATCTCCAAGGTCGTTTACAGATGTTTAACGGTTTGTGAACTGGTGTTTCTATGCACTAGAATGCTTATCAGCTGTCCCATTCACTTTTTGCACTACCGGAGAAAAAAAAGTTCTTGCAACTCGACATTTCATTCTTACGGTTGCTATGTTCAATTATATCTTTATTTCCTACACAAAAATAATTAACCGCTTTTCAACTTTCTATAGGTCTTTTGCAGCTTTTAAAACGGAACTCCAAATTTTGAAACGTAGTTCTTTCAGTTACGTATGGCATGATCGTCAACAAAGGGCGGAACATAGTCGATAACGAATGGCAATTTTATCAAATGTTCGATTTTTATGGTTTCAGAGGTTGCTAAATAAATTTCTCTCGTGAATCGCACTTAATGTGACGTCATTTGATTTGAATTACTTGAATCACTTTGAATTCAGTTTCTCAGTGTCATCGGTAGCCCTCGGTCCTCGAAATCAAACAACTATAGTTAAACCCACAGCCTGGTAATCAGAGTTGGGTCACGTATGTTTGAACAACGAAACGTTGGGTTAACCGGAACACACAAGGTCACACTCATGCTCTGAAACCCTCACTTTGGAAACTTATGTGTCTGACTAATTCTCAGTTTTATTATCTTTCCATTTCAGTTAGCATTCTTTCCATTTCTCCCCATGGATTCAGCTGTTCCGTACCCGAAGGAAACACCATACTACGTAGCGTTAAGTCATACAGTAATGCCAAGAGTGTACCGTTGTATTTTGCATCCCTTAGAGCGTCAAATATTCACATCTTTGGTCCACAACTTTCGTGAATCGCACTTAATGTGACGTCATTTGATTTGAATTACTTGAATCACTTTGAATTCAGTTTCTCAGTGTCATCGGTAGCCCTCGGTCCTCGAAATCAAACAACTATAGTTAAACCCACAGCCTGGTAATCAGAGTTGGGTCACGTATGTTTGAACAACGAAACGTTGGGTTAACCGGAACACACAAGGTCACACTCATGCTCTGAAACCCTCACTTTGGAAACTTATGTGTCTGACTAATTCTCAGTTTTATTATCTTTCCATTTCAGTTAGCATTCTTTCCATTTCTCCCCATGGATTCAGCTGTTCCGTACCCGAAGGAAACACCAATACTACGTACGTTAAGTCATACAGTAATGCCAAGAGTGTACCGTTGTATTTTGCATCCCTTAGAGCGTCAAATATTCACATCTTTGGTCCACAACTTTCTGTTTAAACAACCTAGCTCTGCCATTCGTAGTGAAAGTGGCGGCAGGATGAAATTTCGATTTATCATTTCCGTTAACGACCCGGTTAACAGGTTTCCCCAGTGAGCGGCTTTCTGTGAATTCGTTGACTGGAAAAAGGCAAAACTATGCACTGTCGATAACGAAGAGAGGAACTCAGAACTTCATTAGCACATTTCATTTGTTTCTTCTTGTCCCATTCATGCTTTTTTTTGCTGCTTTTGACTGAACTGATATCAGAATACTGCAATCAGACCATGAATGTGAATTTGTTGGCACCAACAGTGTCTATCATCCTAGCGTTCAGTTACAGAATCTCTCACTAGACCCACAGCTCCTTCGCTCTTCATCATGTCATTATAGTTAAATGCCACATGAAAGAGTACAGCACACAGTCCCCCAATATCTTGGAGACAAAACGGTTAACCAACTCGAACACTATCTAGCGGCGTGTCATAAAATTTTATGTTCCAACAGTAGGTCTCATTAACAAAATTTTTAGCCATCGACTTAAGCCGTGTGCGTAGTTAAACAGGCGTCAGTTTCCCTACCTTATAACAGCTGCTACAGCTTGGTCTCATTTCACCCCAAATCTTGACATCATAGACCGCCGCCAGGCAACCTTCCTTGCTCTCTTGTCGGCTGGAGTCATAAATCTGTCTATCGTTTGATTGCTTTCGGCGTCGGTCCAGTTCGACTGATGTGGGAATGTCCAGGGCGGCGTTGTTTATCACCAACAGAGCGAAGCTGATCATGAAATATGGCTCCATCGCTAATAGTCATTTGGGTGTGCGATGCTATTTGCTTTCTCCTATTGTGCACCCGTTCTGGCCAGCCTTAGACACACAAACTCCACACTCCTGTTAACCATCCATTCATCCCATTCAGCCCTCCAAATAACCGAAATCCCACTAGCAGCGCGCAGGTATGGTGAGGCACATCGATCTGCTTCAAAGTGGCAACGTAACAGCTGGCGATAGGTTATGATTACGACACTCCGACAGTAAAATCTTATGTGAAAGACTGTCTTCACGCAAGGGGAAAAGGCAAACCCAACTGAACCATTTGTTTGGAATCTGTTACTTCGTTTTGCAGAGTCAGTTGATTTCGCAATTACTTCAACCATTCGGTGTATCAGAGTATCTTCAGTACAACCCAGTGTTGCTTATTTACAACTCGATGCTACAGAAACGTTATTGGTGCAAATTCTCCCAGTGGTTTACAATGATGAGCGTTACTAAGGGTTATCTGTGGAGGTCAAACGGCAGTACAAGGTTTCCTAGTTTTCGGCTTATTACTCCTATCGGGACTCACCAAGAATGCGGGATTAGATACTGCAACCTTCTGATCATTAGATGAAGAACGTTCCATTCAGCCAGGTCGCGCTGATCGATCTGCTTATACATAAACCGCATATAACGCTGCTAACTTTTAACCAGACAGTCCACTTCACGTGGTCCACTGCTCACTGTCTCCAGATGTGATGACCTCTAAGATGAAAACCCCAACTACCTTTGAGACTTTTTCCTTCTCCTGTGCTTATTACTTACAATTTATAAGCTACAATATGGCTAAACTTGTTGTGTAAAATGCATTTTAGATGTAGCAGAAATAAACGAGAGATTTCCCCTTCCGTCCTACTGGACTCGTCTTAAACCGTCAGGGGGCTTCATCTGTACTAATAAAACCGGAGCAACATAGTGGGATTCAAATCCATTGTGAAGTGCACCAATATGGTGAGCATCGATCAGCTTCTGTCGATTCATTAGTGTGGGTGATAAACCATGTAATGAAAACCACTTCGCATTATCGAATAAAGATAACCCCTATTTTGTGAAACAGTTAAAGAATGACGTTATGTAGAGTAGGATTGTGGTCTGCCAGTGCGACAAGTGGTACTGCAGTATGATTTTTTGCTTCCTACCGTTTACAGTTATGTAAAAAAAATTGCAACAGCTTGTTCTAAATAAAATGTCATTCAGATTCGTAGCAGATCACACTGAACAGACTTTCGGATATAATCTACTGCATTTTCTGTGAAAGAATGAGGGTCGAGATGGCTTGGTGTTAAGAGCGCGAATTTATTGACCGGAATGTCCGTGGTTCGAAACCGACCTCTGACTCTCTACTTCCCCTGTCTATGCATGGGCAACCTGCCACCATCCCAGCCCTCGTGCTTACTTCTGATGGCATGGCAATTAGGCACCGGGGGGGGGGGGCTACAGCTAAACTATTTTTGTGTAAGAATAACCTTCCTAAAATTCTTTAGAAGTTTAACTTTGGCCTGAGTGTTATAGACGTTCACAGTGTTCGGGGGAATAAGAATTAATTGGTAGATAACCCTTCGATAGTTCACAAAGTACCCACTTTGAGAATGTGTCACGGTCAAACCACGCTTCTCTGTGAATAGGAAAAAAGAATCCTATAGAACTCACTGAAAGATGATAAGGGATGAGAAGCCCTTATGTATTCCGCCATTTATTATTAACACGGATGTCTTGTACCACATTTTGGGGTTTTTTCTTTTATGAATTTGGCTATCTGCTTATAAGTTTTTGCTCTGGCTTTGGCTCAAGCAATTAATTTTCAGGATTTTGGAAGGTTTATTAAGGATGAAGTGTTTTAAGTCGATATTCATCAGAATTGCTTTCGTATCCCCCCCCGTTCGTAGAGACCCCCTCGCCATAACAGTTACTGCGGTAAGTTTTTGAGTTCATATCAAAGCAAAAGTAGTGAGTTCGAGCTTTGTTCTCATTGGAACTCGTTAACAGTCCATGTTTTCTGCCTTGCTGTGGTACTAATCAGCCAATTCATGAGACACACACCATGCGCTGTGTTAGGAGCGGCAACAGGCTTGTCAGGAATACCAAGTTCATGGAGTATAACACGAGAAGCCAAGGTCGTGTATTCCGATTGTACCAGATTTTAAGTCCATTTCTCAGCTTTGTTGTGTACATACCGGCGTAACGACAGGTACTACTGATGAGGCAAGGGAGTAGTAGTGGTCTTCTCGTAACTCCACTCCGCGTCCAATGGAAGGTGAGGTTTATTACGGAATTTGTGGAACTGCTTTGCGGCATTCGTTAGCAATTCCCCGATAGTTAATGGACATCAAAGTCGCACTCAAAAAGAAGAAGACGGATATTCAGTTTTTAAAAACAAGATGCATTTGAGAGGTTTAGTTTCCTGTCCAAAAGCCTGCAACTATTTGTTTGGTGTTTTCTAATAAACAACTCTGTGGCGTTTGGCTTTCCTTCTTTCACCGGTACGGTTAAATCCGGACCTAAAATTGTTTTTTCTTAGGGTACTGACGTGTTTTTATTTCATTTGTTTGTGGGCACAAAGATCTTGGTTTCAAGACGAGAGGTCATGCCAACTGGATCCGACGAAAATACCAGATCCTGGCAATTTTCTTGTGCGAAATCTTCAGCTCGGGCTTTGAACTGTCATGCCGCTCTTGGAATGGGATGGGCTCACGTGGAGATTATGAAATGTCGTGTTGTCTGGATTGCGACATCAGTGAGTTTCTTGTGTAGTGTGACTAGTAAGATGTGAATACCCAATTGCCAGTTTTCTAACAATACGATGGAGCATTCATTCCACGCACCTGAGTCCCGTAGAGTGTTTGTAATTTATTTCCCCTAAAGATCATTGTCATTATTGAAGAGAACTATGGGTGAGCTTAAACTGCAATCAAATCGTTGAGTTACTTTTACCGAGGAAAAAAATTATGCGCCATTTTGGCGTCATAACCCCTGCTGTGATGATATGGTGAATCAGAAATGAAAATCAAAAATAGCGAATTACCGCATCGCTTAAAAGGGTAGAAAATGTTCTTAGGATCAATGGTATTTCTGTGGCCGCTTCAGATGGACTACAAGCTGAATGTTCTTGAGCCTCTCCAAATCTACATTGAAGTTACCCGTAAACAGGCAAGTTGTTTTCGCCTTCACCACGATCGCCTGGCATCTCCTCTTAACCATGATAAAACTGAGGCCTTTTCTCAGATCCACGAGCTTTCGTTAATTAATTTTTCACCAACCTCAATTGCCTTCATCATTTTAGTTTCTGAAATTTTATGAACGGGACTGGCCATCATTTTTGCTACAACCGTTCCGCTTGGTTCAACCCCTCCTACTCGCCTTTGGCTCCAGAGTTTTTTCATGACCAACTGGCAAAACTGTTTTTGTAGGACTCGCGACATACTTGCTTAATCTGAACATTTCCCAAAATTTCGAAAAGGTCATCACCACTACTGATGCCATATATCAACTTTGTACATCAAACTATTGGTGTGCTAGTTAGTCAATTGGCATACGATTATACACTCGACCGACTCACAATAACCGCTATTTTTGTTCACCTGGTTAGACTTCGTCGGCAAACATTTGTCTCGAATCAGTACCTTTTTGAAGCCTATCGGGACCGCCGCCATTCACAAAGACCAACTCTGATAACTGAACGTGCGATAATTTATGGTTGCCGAGATCGCCAATTTCCACACACGAAGGTGCATTGAAATCACAGCACCCTTGACTGTTGGCACTGATTCGCCAGCCGACAGCCATAGGAAAACAACTGATGCTAACCGTAAGATTACTACACTGTTCCTTCAAATTGCCAGTCAGCTATTAGTTTAGCTTGATGCACTATTTATCGTGATACAAATTCGGAACACGTCACACCGCCACAGTATTGGCTGGAAATATGCAAGTTGAAAGATAGGAGTACATCAGAATCTGTCGAGCTCCTGGCGACAACCTGGAACTAAACTTTACTAATTCGGTTGCTTTCAATCGCATTCTGACATTACTTTGGTAAAAACAAGCTTAAATTTACCTTTCACGCACATTGTTAGTGTACCAGTGCATCTCAGATATATCTGTGCCGAATGTATGTAGCGTTCACTTCAGTGAAACTAGCGTGACTTTCAGCAAACTCTTACAAAGGCTATTAGGATTATTATCTACACGCAAATGAAGGTTTATAAACATGTAAGGGGATTTTCGAAAGTGGCTTACATTATTCACTCTGCCATAGTGAGGGTACGTAATGGTTTCGAAGACCATCGCATCATCATAATCATCATCATCATCATCAGCAACAGTAGAGCAGCAACAAAAGCAGAAGCAACTACTCGACGGATGCCTTCATTTCCACACAAAGCTGGTTTGACAGCTTGGGCCGAATTTGCTGCACAAGACCACCTGCTGTTCCGTTTGGTACGATACCTGAGAAATCACAATACACTGCCAAACCGTTATACACTACTTATAAGGTTACTGGAAACTGTTGGGACCATCATAAACGACAGTTTCAGTATGATTTAGTCAAGTCTTTTATAAAAACAATCCCGCATGCGAATGAAAGTATTTGTCGAATTCTGTGGACTATTGAAGAGTTTTCAGCAGGCTTTGGAGTAATTCTTTACGTGTAAAAGACAAAATTCATTCAGTTGAGAATACACAACCTCTCACTATGGTCAGTACATAGTTGGCTACCTTTCACTGCATGGTAGTATCCAAAGTCCATACCGTCTCTGAAAAACAGAAGTCTCCGCACCAAAAAAACTTTAGCAGCAACTGAGCTTCCAAACAAATGAAAAACTGACAACTGTCACTCAAGCACCACTCGTTTTCCTCAGAGTTCTTCTAAAAATAACTAAAAACTCCGTAGTTATTTCGTAAGTTAGCGAACTAAAAGTCTATCATTTTAATCGGATGTACCGGAACTACGAACACGAGTGAAACATAATCTGAAAATTTAGGTTTCCTTTAGTCGTCGAATTTGTGCAAACAGTAAACAAGTGTGGTGAAATATTGAAATTTCTCTCATTCTCTTCAGATGCAACATTTGGAGCTTGCATATGACGTACAAGAAAAGAGCAAGGAGAAAAGTTGAACAAACATACATATACGTGATAGTCGATATCACGTGACCAGAATACAGGGAACCAAATTAACTTTCCGAATTCGTTGTGCGCACAAAAATGAAAAGTGGTCGTTGGATCTCATTCACGGACAGAATTTTTGGTTTAGGCTGTGTAACTAATCAAGTGTTAAGAAATATTCGGCCATCAGCCTATGCCTGGAGATCTGCAACAGATGTTGCTTGGTGGTGGTTTGAGCTTCGCTTATCCGAATCGTTTGGAAAGCGTTCTTATTAGCCTCTTTCATCGCTCGCTCTTTTTATATTGTGTGCATGCTGGATTCTTCACAGATGAGGAGAACAAAAAAGTATAACCATCCCAAGGCTTATCTTCTACCTGCTCTAGCGCGTAAGAAGTGGAATCCAGTAGAAAGTCCTGTAGGACGATTTTGTGTCGTCTTTTGTCTATAAAACTTTGTGGTGAACTCGATGCATTGCGGATTTTTATTTGGTGGCAGTCTGTCATTTTGTGGTATGCTCCCATCCTAGCCAGTGTCTACCATACACACAGGGTTTGAAGGATCGGATTTTTCTCAAACCGTACCGGATGGAGCCTAGATATTCGGCGGTTTGCTGGTGAAAATCCATGGAAAATCTCCCAAGTTCTTTACGTGGCTTCGTAGATACCTACGAATATACAGGCCTGCTATGGAAAAATCCGCTCATTATCGGTGTAGAAACAATGAACCACAGTTGTCACAACCAGATCGTCATCTTTTCTGTAAAGGGACGGAAGCATACGGATTCTCGTATAGATTCGTTATCCCAGGTTAAAAAAAATAGTTCACAGAGTAATACAAGAAAGGCTGTAATGCGTGTCTTGCATTTCTCTCCAGTACTGCTTTTTTATCATGGGCTTTGCGGTTGTTAAGCGAATCCCGGCAGTACTTTGTTCGGTGAAGGGCTTCAGTCAACGTCAACACCAAGGAGAACTCAATGTTGGGTAGGGAACCATACGAATTTGTTTGACTAAGAGTTGTTTAGAATGCTTCATCCACCAACAAAGGTCACCGTTGCGGTCGGGAATAGCCTCTTTAGATGAAATGCGAAGGTTAGATTAAAGGAGAAATTGTCTTGTCATACAACACAAATAACTGCATAGCTAGCAAAGTTTTAATTGCTTTCCACGATGTATCCAAGCTAGTCCCGTAGCCATTCCGGTTGTTCATGTCAGACTCATTCACCTGGAGTCGGAGTGTGAGGTAGTTCGGCGATCTCAGTGACATTGTAATGAAATGCAAAGCACCGTGATTAACGAGTCTAGGGGTGAGTCTAGAAATATGAGTAGACTTGAATTAGTCGTATAAAATCATGATACTGTGTTCGTTACTCTCAGTGGCTCCCTCAGGTGGTTTCTTGTTTCGACCTATGTTTTTTACCATCCAAATTCAAGGCCTGACTTCAGCGTTTCCTATTTCATTATGTCGGTTTAGAAATTGAGGTTGAAGAACCTGAGTCCACATTTCGGCTTAAGGCTCTTTGTAGCTGCACAGGTAGTGACTATACTGTGAGTAGTAAAGTAACGCATGCGTTATAAAAGAATGAACCGAATCCGCTCAGTTACTTCATCTTTGATATCCTAAACAGGTAACACGGTGATTACACCACCACCACCACCACGACTGAGATAAACCTAGTTTATAACTGTGAAATTACACTTATCTATTCTGTTAACTCACGTATTTGCCCAGCAGTGCCTTCACAGCATAGTAACCTTTGTCTTTCATGGGAACTTGCTCCAAAGCAGTCCTGAGCAAAACAGGCCTGAGAACATCACAAACGAGACTCAGCTGGTTTCCAGGTGAGTCTCTCGAAAAACCAAATTAGTTTGCAAATGAGTGTATATTCGCTAATTTCGTGCAATTTGGTCTCAAGTAGAACATAAGGTTGACGGAAACCTGGGGAGTGCGCCTACCTGCTCAGCCCCAAAAAGGGCGAAACCGGTCGTGGGCTGACGACGGATTTTCAGCAACCTTATGAGTAGTATATTACAAAGATATACATGCATCGCGATACCTCGAATATCGTAGCGACTGAAACATGAGGCGGCCTGGTGCAGCACATTCAGTTGCCTGCGAACATCACAAACGAGAGATTCAGCTGGGTTCCAGATGAGTCTCTCGAAAAGCCAAATTAGCTTGCAAATGAGTGTATATTTGCTAAGTCCCTATAAACGTTTATTTCTATAATTATAAAAGATGTGGACACATCGCTCTTGAAGGTTCTTCCAGGGTATGTAGGACTAGGTTCCTAATAATAATATCGGTAATAATAATACGTATATTTTTCCCAATCACAAAATTTCTTTTCACTGTATCTTTGTTGTTGCGTGGCGCCCAGGTAGTTTTTTCAATCTCCTTGCTACTGTTGCTGCTTATCGATTTGCTCATGGTACTTTCAAGTTAAAGAGATCCATGCACAACGGAGACCGTCCATCCTATACTTGGATGGACCGATTCAACCCGAGTCTTTAAACTATCCTGTGTCCTGTCCCACCCGAAATCACTTGGTAGTTAGACACCGAACAGATGAAGTATAAGAAAATCTGCCGTGCTTGGATATCTAGGTAATTTGGTCGAATTCTCTGCTACACTAGATCGATGGATTTCGAGTGTCTCAGTCCAACCTCGCTTATACTGAGAGCTGCCGTTTGCTGACAGGTTGTCGTTCATGAGCGTTTGTACACTGAAGCCCGTGTGCCCATCATCTTACTGTAATATGTAGAGCTGCAATCAGTCCTCATCGGTCGACTTGAGTATCAGTTCGAAAACTTGCAAACAAGACGGTGTGATATGGCTTTCAAGTTTGATTACTCAGTTGGTTGCCCTAGACCACCCCATTTGTATCATACCAAGCAACATGAAGGGTAAATGACCAATAACCTGAACAACAGTGATCAAAATACCTAGTTCGTGGCAAATCTGAAGGTCAGTAATTCGAATTGACAAGGCCATTTAAGATAAGATAGCCAAATAGGGTAACCACTCCCATATGTTCCATACTTCGTGAAAGAACTGTAACCCGCGTTCGTGAGTTGTGAAATGGAGAATGGCCCACGTGTATAGTTCCATTAAAAAGTGTCAGATATGTCAGGTGTGAGTCAGTTTGTCAGTACGAATTGTCGCATCTTCAAACATTTCAAAACTCGAAGCTATCACACAATCACAGGTCCATCGAACAGGTTATGCCGTACATATGCCATATATAAATCCAATAGATTGGTGACCATAAAGAAAATGGTATTTTTTTCCGCATCGCGACCTCCCTACACATCTTCACCCTCCGTGTCTCCACATCCCGATACGATGAAACGTAAATTAGTTGTTTGTCACCACAACTCATCTTACCGAGATTACAAAGTCTTGTCAAGAGGGAGACATTTTGATCACCATGATGTCTGTTGATACACTGGTGACTCAAAGTTTCCGTGGATACCGACTTCAAGTCATGAATTAGGTCAGTCACATTTAGTAAAAGACAGCTAACATAATGCTGTGATTTTTGACTAAAATTCTCTACCGGGCCGAAAAAGCAGCAGAGGACAAAATAATCCGGTTACCCAGCTGATTCCTCAGAGTTCAGTGTTGGCAACAATTTTTGCTGCACAGCACGGGAAAAAAATTACGGAACGAAAACGCAAGTTGTGTTGGAGGTACTCTGTTGCACGGAGTGTCACCAGAGAGAGGAAATAGGATATTGGAATCAAATTGCCCAGCTAAAGGAACAAACCAATGACCAGGATATTGACTAATTTGCCATGATGATGTTCCTCCATTAACCACAGTGATATCTGTGAATGCCAGTCATTCTTCATCACTCTCAAATACGTACGATCCACTTGAAAGAAGATTACAGATGTGCCGATTAATGAGAACAAGAGGAAGGTAAACTTCTGAAAAAGTTAGTCAAGAAACCCTACACATATTTGTTTATAAATTTTTATCCTGAGCCGAGACGCAAAGGAAACAACTTCACAGAAGCTAATACTCAATAGTTCCATTTCCGCACTTCTTCGGTACGATTATGATCACAACTCACTCCGGAAACGACTGGTTTTCTTCACACTAAAGTGAAAGCCCAGACAAGGACGTGCGTAGCTACCTCTACCGAGTTTGGACTTGATACGAGTGTGGAAGTAGGCTATCATTCCCCTTTGTGGTCAGCGACTGTTTTCACAAAAATGAACAGATAAGCATTTATTCAGCTCAAACAGTCCCAATGCCAAGTCATCGCAATCTGAGTCTATTCCGAATATGCTACCATCCGAGAATGATTGGACAATGATCAAAGAGAAAAAGGACAATGCTTGTTTTCTCCTGATAGAACACTAACACTATTTGCAATGTTACTTCAAAAGTCCACGACAGGTTTTGTCTTTCTTGGGACTCTGCATGTAGGATCAGTGCTGGTGTTCGCCTCAACATTATGTCTACTTGAGCACAAAGTTGTGCACAACCGGAAAATTAAGTTGTTGTTGAGGAACAACCCGAGTAAATCCCAGGTGGATTGATTATTTGTGCTAGATATAGCGTTCTCCATAGGTATTTCGATTATTCCACCAACTTAAGGATGAGGTGGCCTCTATGCTATACATTCAGTTGAAGGATACCGTACCTCATCAACACCGGCATAATTTTCAGATGAGCGTTTTTGTCCCTTGTCATCGTTACTACACGTTTATGTGAAAGCCAATTGGGTGGATGGGTACAGTCACGGGTAAGGATGTTATATGTGAGGAGGGTAGGCGCGTCCATGGCTCGCGGAGTCAAATATACCGCCATAGGATCAGGGAAGTGAGAACAGAATGTCTTTCAGTCTAGCACATTTTCAGAAGTCACACAGGTATCTTTCAAATGCTGAGTTCTGGGTTAGTTAGTCAGATCCCACTAGCCACTGCAATCGTTAGAGACCTGCATAGAACTGCTCGTGATCGGTTTACCGTAAGATAATGTGATGGTGACGGCACTGAGCAG